CTCCAAATTAATTTTCTACTTTGACCTCCTTTACCATCTCTTGCTTTGAAGAGAACTCAAGTGAGAAGACCTTAGAATAGCAAAGAGAAATTTAACACACTAAATATAAGCCACTGGGCTAATTATTTGTACCATTTGGAGAACAGAATTGTTGCTTTCAGGAAATGACCATGCATGTGTGAAATCTTAAAATAATGTCCACAATTCATACGAAGTCCTCAAGCTGTTACAAAGTCTGAGAGTAGGAATAGGATCTTTCTAACTTCCTCTTCAGCACCTGTGATATCCCCATCAGTGAAAGGGTTAAAGATAAGCCCAAAGAGGCCCCATCACTCCTCCAGAGCACTAGCTTTATGGAGCCACCATAAAGAGAATGGTGGAGTTTAGTCCTAATAGACTCCTTTTCTCTGAGAATGAGTAACTGATCTGGGATATAACACATGATTCACTCAGTTGGGTTTCTGAAGACTATTATACAAGTGATTCAGAAGAAAGACAAACATGATTCCATGGCATGAGACCACAGAAGGGCAGGTAACCAGAGGATGGCGTGGCTATAAAAAATACAATTCCTTTGGCCACTCGTAAATTCTCTTAGTAAGGAATTAATGACAGAAGTCCCTCAAGAAGGCTGTGTGGCTACACCCATGAGAACATTTGATTAGATTGACTCAGATTTTCAGAGTACACATGCAAAGCAGACAAAAAGACGTGTAACCAGGAACTGTTCTACCAGCAAGAATCATGCCTGGAGCCAAAACCCAAATTGTGCTATGCAGAATAAATAAAGATAATTTTCTCAATACTATGTGCAAAATAAAGAATAATTCCACCCACCGTTTGGGGTGGATCCTGCTGATTGATCGTCAAGAGAAAGTCAAGTTCCTCACCTCCTGCGTTGCTTCTGTCCTATTGGTTTGTGAGTGGGTATTTGCAGGCAAGGGAAGAGCTAACTACCCTACATAGCTTCAAGTCTTCCAACCTGGCTGAAGCACATTCTAGCAGGTTCATATAATTTTCGAATGAGGTGGACAAACCATTACCAGTGATCTTTGAGAGATCTTGAAGAAGAGGAGAGATGTAAGAAGACTAGAGATGAGCAAAGAACAGGGAACTTTGTATTAGTACACAGGAAGAGCCACCAGAAGTACACGCGATGATAACTTTGAGTCAAGGCCAGACAAGGTCTTCACGTGAAACTTGTGTTTCCCTGGTAGAAACAACAGAAGCTCCCGGGGAGCTCTAAGAGCATATTAGGTTGGATTTCTTTCCTTTTCTTTAAAAATTTTTTAAAAAATTGCAGCATATTATGGGGGTACAAATGTTTAGATTACATATATTGCCTTTGCTCCAGCTGAGTCAGAGCTTCAAACATGTCCATCCCCCAGATGGTGCACCCATTAGGTGTGTATATACCCATCCCCTCCACTACCCTCCCACTTGCCCAACACCGGGTGAATGTTATTACTATATGTGCACTTAAGTGTTGATCAGTTAATACCAATTTGATGGTGAGTACATGTGCTTGCTTTTCCATTCTTGTGAATACTTCACTTACTGTGTTTCCCTGAAAATAAGACATGGTCTTATATTTATTTTTCCTCAAGAAGACACTCTAGGGCTTATTTTCAGGGGATGTGTTATTTTTTTTAAGTACGGTAAAACAATGTACATTTATTCAAATAAGTTAAGTCGTCTTCTTGAATATCATCATACCTCTCCAAACTCCGAATTCCATCCTGATTTTCTTGTGACTCTACTTCCTTTAGAACCATTGGCCCCAGTCTCTCATGTTGAGCAATAGAGCTCTCATTAAAGGAGTAGGGCTGGCTTATTTATCAGAGATCCAGGGAGCACTGGGTCCAATCTGCACAGTGGAGCAGAAATGATCTTTCTGGGCTCAGTAGGAGACTGCTTGCTGAAGCTTTCCCCCTATTCCCTGGTGTTTGTGGGGGGTAAGAGAGGCCCACAGTGCTGAGTAAAATGGCAGCCACAGCTTTCCTTCTTCTCCCTGGGGACACACAATACCTAAAGCGGAGAGTCTCGCTCCTCGCTTTACTAAGGAGACTTTCCCCTCAAAGCCTCAGCTTGTAGCACACACAGGATGGCCGGGACCTGACAAGGGGAGCCCACCTTGGTGGGGCTGCCCGCACATTTCCGGTCACCTCTGGGATAGTAGCTGTCACGATGGGGCAGATGAGAAGGGCTGCTCATCTTCTTTACCACTCTGTGATGAAATGCATAGGTTGTGCAGATAGGCTGTGTAGCCACGCCCGTCACTAGGTCTTATTTTTGGAGTAGGGCTTATATTGCGCAAATGCTTAGAAATCCTGCTAGGGCTTATTTTATGGGTGGGTCTTATTTTTGGGGAAACACGGTAATAGAATGGGCTCCAGCTCTATCTGCATAATGCTCTTTCCTTTTCTTCTTGTACAGAGTCAGTAATTGGTCAGAAAAATATGGCAGACATAATGTATTTTGACTTCAGCAAACATTTAACAATGCTCTTGTGGATAATGTGGGGACATGAGGGCTGTGTGTAGGCTTAGAAACAAGCTGTTTGAGTATGCATGGTTGATATCAACTCATTAATAGTTATTAATAACTTAATGAGTTGATATGAAATCCAAGAATATGCATGACATGGATCTCTGTCCACCGTCATCTTCAGTTCAACATTTTCATCAATCAATGATTAAAATATATGCAGAATATAGAGGGGAAAATATAGAGAAAAAAGTAATGATAAAAGTTGGGAGGAATATTAGGTAGAGTGGATGGAAGTCTCGGAGAGTATCAGCTCCTCCACCATCTCCAATGCTGTTTTCTCTTAAAAAACCACAAACTAAACTAGATAATTTAGTGCACAAAAATGGCGTATCAGTGTTTTAATTTACATTTTCATTACTTAGAAGAGAGAATTTGATCAAAGGTTTATCCATCATTTGCAATCATGTTTTATATGTGATTTGCCTTTTCATAGAATTTGCTCATTTTACTATTGGGGCATTTGTCTTCTCTTTATTAATCTGTACCATTATTTGTATGTTAACCCCTTACCTATTATTCCAAATATTTTATCCAGTTTGCCATTTGTCTTTTAATGTTGCTTATTTGGCATAGTTTTTGTTATAAAAAATGTATGCTTTTTAATGTGGCTAAGTTCCTCATTCTCTAATTTTAAGGTTTCTGTGTTAATGAATATGCTTAGAAAATTCTTACCTCCTTTAATATTAGATAAATATTCATTAACATTTTCTAATTCTTTCAGGTTTCAATGTAAGTCTTTAATCCATCTGGATTTTATTTTGGTGTATGGTATAAGCTCTATCGATTGAAATTATTTTATTCTAAATGGTTAGCCAATTTTCTCAACACTAGTTATGAATAATTTATCATTTCCCCAATGACTTGAACCAGTATCAAAACAACACTAGCAACAAAAATTAACAAGATCTAACATTTGCTTATTGCTTACTCTGAGCCAGGCACTGTTCTAACATGTATTAACTCATTTATTTCTCAGAACAACCCTGTAAGGTAGATATTGTTATTATCACTCCTATGCTATGATAACATCCCTCAGTGTGGAAACTGAGGCACAGAATGGCTGAATAACTTGCTTAAAGTCACATAGTTAGGGAGTGGTGATGTTCAGATAAAGACTTGGACAGCTGACTCCAGTATTCAAGCTTTGAAATTATTTGATACACTTGGCTCTGTTTCTAGGCTTTCTATTTTGTTCCAATGCATTCATTTCTGTATTGATACTGTGCTATTTCAATATTTAACATGTCACTCCTCATGTCTTTCTTTACTATTAATAATTTCTAATTTAATTACTGTACCGCCTTCCATTTTATAATCTAGCTTCTTAAAGTGTCAAGACCATTTTCATATGAATATGAAAAGCAAGCAAGCAATATATCCATGTTTTTCTAGAAAGTCTCTTGACAGCCTTTTTTGAGGTAATGGATGTTACAGGGCTGTTTGGCAAGAAGTGAATTCCACGCTGCTCTTGCTGGCTCAGGGCGCTCTGTGGAGTTTCCAATAGCGTCGTAGAGCTCTGAGCTCTGCCCAACACTCCATGCCTTGGTTCCTCATGTGTAAAAAGGCAATAATAATAGCACCCCACTGTAAACAGCGGTTAGGAGACTAAATGAGTTAATATTTGTGAGGTGCTTAGAACAGTGTCTGGCACATCGTAAGTGCTAAATAAGTGTTTGCAAATTAAAATGAAACTTTGCCCTAGTCTAGAACATGATGCTCTGATTCAGTCACTTGGCCCAAATGTGCAACTCAATTGTGGGAGTTTTTAGTTTATAAACAGGGAACTTCTGGACTTGGCATGTGATGATTCCCGATAGGAAGTATGTCTTTCAAAGTGCTTTTACATCAATTTTCTTATTTTATCCTCGTGGCAACCTGCTGAGCAGAGCAGGGTGGTATGATCCTTGTTGAAGTATAGAGACAATGACTTTATTTAACAGAGGATATTTGTTGGCTATGTTTGACCACTGGAGCTAACTATCATTTTTGGAACCAAAATTCATTTTCTTTCTTTCTTTTTTTTTTTAATCTGCTTTGATCTTGGGTGGAACCAAAATTCAAATGATGTCAGAATGACTTCTTCCTCCATGCAGAGATTCCTCCATAGAAATCTATCAAGTGTAATTGACTTGAGAGAGGACCACAGAAAAGCAGCATGTTGTGTGGTATTGTTTTGCGCAACAGCATCAGTTTTTTTCTTCCCTGTAACTTTAGTAGGCTCTGGTTTTACATTTCCTTTTCAGAAATACCCTGGAATTGTGGTTTCCTGAGCCCCCACATCCGCAGGGCCAACTCGGGGCATGAAGGCACTCTGGGCATTCTTGGGATTCTTCTTTGCTGTGTGGGGCCCAGCCCTGGGTTCAGATGGAAGGAGCACAGTCGGGTCTGCGCCTCCCGGGAGGGCTGCAGGGAGGTGCACTCTGGGCTCAGCCTGTGGTTTTGTCCCACAGATTCGTCACTCACGGTGCAGCAGATGGTGGGTGTCGGACTGGGCTCCATGGCTGTCGTGATCGTGCTCACATTCCTCTCCTTCTCAGCAGTGTGGTATGTGAGGCTGTCGTTTGTCAGAAATGAGTGGAATGGAGGGGAGGGTGGGTTGGAGTCATGAACAACAGCTGGGGAGGAGGGGAGGCAAAGGGGGTGTGGGCGGCGGGTGTCCTGGGCTCCACGGAACACACTCAGCAGGTGGAGGCATGACTGACCCTGTCCTCCTGGCCCAGGAAGAGCGTGGGGACAGTGATGACTGTCCTGGCCACACACAGAGGGGCGGCTGATGTTCCATGCTCGCCCCCTCCCATGAGCGTGTGTGTGAGCTGTACGCCGGGCTGCACAGTGGGAAAACCAGGGTGTTCATTATTTGTCTCTTCTTTTTTCCTCCTCCATGTCTAGACTGCAGATGGGCGCTGTGTGGGAAAGCAGCACCGCCACTGGGACAGGTGTTCCAACAGCTTCTCAGGCCCCTGCACAGAGAGACCCTGTGTGACTTCCACCCAAGGGGGTGTGTGGGCCTGCAACTTTCTTCACTCCCAGCTTGGCCCCACTCCTGGATTCAAGATGGTGGCTATCCCTATGGATGCCCCCCAAAGGGATAACACTCAGGAATTGCTGACATCTTCCCTGCCACACGGCCAGTTCTGTGTCTGTGAACTTGAGCCCCTTGATGTACAATGTGACATGGACCACAGCCTACAGATCTCATGGGTCTGGGCTGGGACTTGCTCTGAGTGATGTCTGAGAATCAGCTCTTCTGGACACGGAATGCAGGAGTCTCTGCATTCTCCTTTATACCGCACCTCTGTTCATTAATTCAGAATCCATTCTTTCACGGTACGCAATGAGATGGGCTTAAGTTTGGGCTAGAGTTTGACTTCATGAAGGAGGCCATTGAAAAGGTTAGAGAACAGTGACATGGGCAAACATTCCAAGGTCTTTAGTAGCAGCCCTTTCCCTACAATTAGCTGGTACTCTAATTAGAAAATATACTAGCCCGGCCACGCCTATAAGCTCCCTGTCCTGTCTGTTAGGCAGCATTGCTTTGATACAATTCCCATTGTCCTATATATTCAAAAGTAAAAATATCCTATAATTAAGATTGTTCTTCCCTTGGTTAATTTATTATTATTATTATTATTGAGCATCTCCTAAACATGCTCTGTCCTTCCTTTACAAATTGGGATTCAGTGGTAGTATAGTATTAAATAACAATGGGTTAAAACAGCACTGAGCCCATGGCCAGCCCAGGGTCCACGTGTATTGCAAGGGAGGGGCCGCGATGGGGGTGACATCCCTTTTATCTACAACTGCAGTAACCCTGACTGTTACTATGTCACGAATCATGAACCATCGGAGGTGAGCAGTGCCGGGCCTGCTGTTCACATGCTGAGTCTACAGATGGAGTGTATTAGATTTGACTTTTAAGGCCGGAATCAATATTCTTTAACTTTCCTCTCTGACAGTTTAACTCCAAGGCTCAGTAAGAGACTAATGGAGAAGAAAGAGGCTTGCGGCATCTCGCCACCTTCCTCGCTTGCCAGACCTAGAGAAGAAAAGCCACGTGAGAGGGGACAGGGGGACAGTTAGTGTTGCACAACCTCAGGGTACAGCACATACGAATGCAGTCCTGAGAAAAAGAGACACTCTTTGCAATGTGCTGGGTGGGTGTGTTCTGTGCCCGCCTGCTGGGCGTGGGTGGGGGATGAGTCTGAGTAGCCTGGGCTTGTGGGCAGCTGAGGAGACAATAGAAATCAGTGGAAATTGCCCAGGAAGCTGCTCTACCCTGGGCAGGGGCAGCCCAAAGAGTATCCACTTAATTGGGAAGAGTTGGAGGGAGGGAGGAAATATCCTGACCCCTGAGTGTCCAATGCCAGCTGTCAGCCCCTGGCCCCTCCCTGTACTAGGCAGTACCAGGAATGACTGACCTCTGACCTCTCAGGTACTACCCCCCAGACTACAACTTAGGATCAACCTTTGAAACCCTTCCGGCTCTCATCTTAGGAGAGTTAATAGAGCAGAGATCTCAATAGACTAATACAAACCGCTCTCAATTTTTAATTTTGGCGTACAACGATTCACACTCATACTGTTTTCACAGCTCCAGAACTAGATTTGGAATCATTACAAATTATTGTGGTTAGTTTAGGGCAGGGCCTCGGACAAGTAAGGATTTTCCCTCAAAGCCCATCTCTATCAGAAGAGAATCTGAGCCTCCCCCTCTTATTTTATTTTATTTTTACCAGTTCTGTAAATGGCATATGTTTCTATAGCCCCTTAATGTCCAGCTCTAGAATCAACTGCTAAAGATGCAGTTGTCCATGCACAATGAAGCATAATTGTCATAGAAAGGAAGAAATCCCATTTGCTTAGTATCCAAAAATTTCTGGCTAAAATAACTGACTAAATATTGAGTAAAATATCAACTTCTGGGTACAGTGCAGAAAAGTAAAAGCAGTTCATGTAAAATTACTAAAATAGCAAAAGTGTCAAGTTTTTTATTTCTTCTAACTATTTGAAATGGCTCAGTGTTAATACTTGAATTGTGGGGCCGTCTTCTGACTGTAAGTCTGGTTCTCTTTCCTGGCATTTCATAGCCCTCGAGCTAGCCACTGAGCTGATCTGTGAATAGCCTTTTTGGTTCCTGGGAAAGTCTGACCTTTAAATTTTACGTATGTACATATATAAACTGTTGCTTTTATTATAGCACATGTGTCTTCTTATGTGTATCTTTTCACTGTAATGTACCTCCACCCATCCTTTCTAGAAGGAGCCACAAATAATCAAGCCAATAGATGAGGTTAATTAGGGGGAATAGGTGATAGTCTATTCTCTGACTCAAGACATGAAATTGCAGCTGGGCACTTAATGTGAGACCAGAGCAGAAGTGATGATCTTGAAATTCCACATTAGCTTGGAATAAAGTTAATATTTAAATTGATTTTGAAGGAAGTAAGAATTCTCAGTGTTCCCTATTTATTGCTAACCTCACATTCTGAATTTGTAAACCTTCTGGTTTTCCATTCTATTTTTCTAAGAGAAAACCAGTGATCAGCAGTCAATCAAATAGCGTTGTAAGGACCTATCACATCCACTGTTGGCTAAACTGAAGTGCCTGCTTTTGGAGGGGAAGGAGGGTGTGCCCCAGTTTGTGGGCAAGTGATACAGTGAAGCAAGTCACTTAAAACAGCAGTGTGTGCTCTTGTTTCAGAGAGAGCGAATCATTTTGGTGTGGTATGTGTATGTGTGTATGTCCATATCTGTACATTTGGGGCATAACTCAGGGCTACCAAAGAGGAGTAAAACGACACGTGGTTTTGTAACATGATTCTTTTACTCGTCAACATTTCCTCGATGCATATTTTTCATGTCAATATTGACTGCCTTATAAATTTGCACCATAATTTATTGAATACTCTGTCATGCATTGTGCATTTTCAGTGTTTCTAGATGTTTATTAGTCTTATACAAGTCTGTATAAATGTATGCAATTATCACTTAGGCTAAATTCCTAGAAGTGAAATTGCTGGAATGGAAACTATACACATTTGACATTGTACTACATATTGTTGGAGGATTTTCACAGAAAAGTTTATGCCAGTTTACGCTCTCACCAGCAGGAAGCCTCACCACCATTGAGCATTGTTGATGTTATTAATCTTGATTAATGTAGTAGGTGAAGAATTATGTTTCAATGTTTTGTTTGCATCTCTCTATGTTGATTGGCTGTTTGTAATTCTGTCTTTGTGAACTGCCTTTTTTCTCAGTACTTGGCCATTCGTCTTTTGTTGATTTATATCATTATATCATAGCAATTTCAGCGCTTAGCTGTCATATTTTGTAAACAATTTTTCTAGTTTATCATTTCTAGAGACAATAACCTTGTTTTTTTAACCTTGTTTTAACCTTGTTTGTGTTATATTTTGCTATACCGAAATTTTAAATGTATATAGTCCAATTTATCAGTCTTTTTCCTTATGTGGGACCTTCCAATGTCAAGGTACTAAATATAATCTAGCATTTTAAAAAAACACTTAAATCTTTAGTTGATCTGAAATTTATTTTAGTATAGAGAGTGAGATTGCAGGGTGGGTGGGGGAAGAGGGTGTGTCTTTTTAAAATTCTTGCTAAATGGTTAGCTAGTTGTCTTATTCATTGACATTTTCCCCCTGGTGATTTGAAATCATATAATGAATCATATACTAAAGTCTATTTCTGAACTTTCTCTTTTCTACTGATTTATTTTTATGTCAATACCACCTACCTACTATAACTTAAAAATAGGTTTTTAAAAATACCAAGCGAGAGTAAGTTCTATTTTTCTGTTAATTCTCAGAGTGTTCTCAGGTTTTATTACATATTTATTCATGTGTACATATTTATTATACATAAACTAAAGAAATATTTGGCCAAAGTTTCCCTCTCAACACTCCCCCCCCAACACCAAATCTTAGTATTTTGGGGAGGGATGTGTTAAATAAAGAGTGCTCCTGTCACAGAACATGGTATGTGTCTCTTGCCTAGAATATTCTGGTTTCCAACTTACAACGTAATTCATACGAATCTTTTGTATGTCTAGCTATTTTATGTCTGGTTATCCTGACCTCTTGGGTTGCTTCCTCAGCTCCTGCCCCTGAAAGTGCAGGCCATAGCCTCTTACTGCTGCATCATTGCAGTTCTTTTGCTCTGGCAGTCTGCCTTCTTGGGGAAAAGTCACATCAAAATGGCTCCTCAAGCATAATTACTTTCCAGGGTATGTACTTGACCCACAAAAACTCACGGATCCTTGGCATACCAGTGGAGGACTGCCCTGCCATCATGGGTAGCTCCAGCCACAGACTTTAATTTTCTTACCTGTTAGATCCTTTGTCCTCCGGCTAGTGGAAATGTAGGTTGCTTCTATTTGTTTTGGCCTGCCACTAGGCCTATAGCCTCAGTCTCTTGACCTTTGGGTTTCTTGTCCTTGGAATCAGATGCTAGGCCACTGTGCCCTCTGATGCTTTAGGGGACACAAGCCAAAGTCTGAGTGGAGGGCTCCTGGAAGCTCCTCTGTCCAGGCTGTGCTGAGGGACTCCCTGCCCTCCACCATTGTGGTGTGGAGAGCAAGTGCACACACCCCAGCAGCTCACTGCGAAGAACTTCTTTCTTTGTACCTTTTAAAATTTGAACCACTTTGTATTCTTGAATAGGTATTGGGCTAAGGGTCACAAGATAATTTGGAAATCCTCATTTTACAATATGGGAGTACTCGGGAACCAAGTACCTCTCTGTTTTTTGGGACTCTGTTTAAAACAAAACAAAAAGAGCCCAATGTGGAGGTCAAAGGATATGAAAATATGCTTCAAAGAATAAGAAACACACCTTCACCTTTGCCGTATTCTATTGGTTAGAAGCAAATCCGACTCAAGAGGAAGCGATTATATACAGGCTCTGAACACCAGGGGGCATTGATTGTGAGGGTCATTTTAGAACTCTGCTTGTATGTTACTAAAGAAAAAAAAATCAACTGTAAACTTTAAATTCAACCACAGTATTTCCTGGGTCCTACTGGCAGAGCTAATTGACTTCATAGCAAAAGCCTGGGGCATAATTCTCTTCTTTCTAGGGAGAGGTGCAAAAGCTGCCTGGGATAGAGGTGACCAATAGCCATTGCACATTGGGTCTGCCAGTTTTTTCTCATCTTTGACCACATGCATTCACTTAGATGGCACAGAGATTTGGGAGAGAGAAAGGCACAATTTTGGGGGGTCCATAGGCATGTGTCCCATCCCCTAGACTTTGGCTTAGCAGGATTCAGGGTTTGTGAGCTTGGCCTGCAAAAGCCCAGCTTTAACAAATGGGGAGAGCCTAGCATGTGGATAAGAAGGGTTAGCTCCATGCTGTAGTCTCTGGGAGTGGCCATCTTGAGTCTTGATGGGCTTGGCAGGTAAGGCAACGTTGAGCAGATGCAGAGCTTCCAGAGGGTGGTGAGAACTCTGGGGACTGGTGCTAGAGAGCACAAACATCCTCCTCAGTCCTCAGACCCTGGGACCCTCCCTAGCCAAGGCCTTGGCAGCAGCCATGTGCAGCAGAGATGAGCTGTGGCTGGGGGTGTTGTGACTCCCTCTGTCCAAGGACACTGTGCCTTTCAGTGAGTCTGACTTGGTTTCCTGTGATCTGCATTCATGGGCATTCTTAACAGATTTTTTGTGGACAATGAATGCCTAGTCATCTGGCCTGAATGTCAGTCTGAGTTTGGTGCCTCTGAAACAGTTCCCTGGATTAGACGGAGACTGAAGGAAAACCACCAAGGCAAAAGGAGCGGTCTCCATCCTGACCTCTAGAGACCATAGCTTGTGGCCTCCACCTGTAACACACGCTGCTGGCAGCCACTTCCCTCCACTTCCCCTCGTGTCTGCAGACACTGCCCTCCTTCCTCTCCTTGAGCCTGCAGGCTGCTGCTGCCCTGCCCCGGCCCCTCACAGTCTTCTGCAGAGACGCCACTCAGACAGGGGTGGAGCTAGATGCACAGCTGGAATCCATCCAGGAGATCTGGCTCCGAGGGCATGTGAATCTTAGCAAGAGCCGGGCATAGGAAGACCAAGGCTTGTCACTGGATGACATAAAAAAACGAAGAGCCACTTCTGGAGGGAATGAGGCAGTGCACCTATGTTGGAGAGATACATGTTGCTGAACAGCCTTGGGCAGTTGACCGTGTGCCTTGGGGGTCTGACCATGGTTACTCCACCCTTGGCCCAGGACTATGGTCTGTATTGATTGTACTGCACACTTAGCTTTCTAAGGCTGACCAGGTCATTGTCCTCAGCTCCTGCTTGCAACTGGGTTGCCCATTGGCCCTTTATTGACCACCCAGCTTGGTCAGCTTGTCCTCAATCACTGAGGCATAACCAGTTTCCCAAAAAGATATGGTTGATACTATTAATACCCCTGGTTTGCTGCTGTGCATTACACTGACTTAGGGAGACTCTAATAAAAATGCTTCAAACCGATTTACCATTTTTACTATTAATATATGACTTCTGCTTTGCATAATTGCTTGCTTGGTCAACCACCATGCTATTAATACTTTCTGGTAAACTGGTAGAGGAAAAGAAATTGTCTAAACCAAGCAACAGGAAGGAACAACTTTCAAGCAGGTACTTTCCAAGTGAAATTAGAGCCTGAGACTGAGTCAAAAGGAGAAGGTGCCTGGCTATACTGAACTTTCAAGTGTTTTCCAGCTCAGAAGCTCCCAAATTCTCTGATCTTAGTGAATTTCCAATTTAATTCTGATGCGATTCCTCGGGAACACCAATGCAAGGGTAGTGATAGAGCCATTTATTTCTGTTTATAAAGATGTATAAGGAGTGTGTATAATGAAAGGACACTTGGTTTTTAATCATCTGTAACACAAAGACATGGAATCTGATGCACAGTGACAGAAATCATAGCTGAAGTTAGTCTGAGTTATACTGTATTTTGGAAATGTTCCAAACTCAACGTTTTTGCCATGTACTCTGAGACCAAAATATGGAGATTATTTTTCCATTATTCCTAGAAATAAGGTTGCTAAATCACTACAGTTTTCATTTTTTTAAAAAACTACTAGGTTCCTGAATGTTGTTGTCTTACCGACGTGCAGTTATTCTGGGTCTACCCTTGAGCCCACTTTTAGCGCCTGTCACTTAGAGAAGTCCTCCCTGCTAAGAATAAAGCCTTGGTGGCAATTTCAAATGAACGGGGAATGATGGATTATTAGGGAAGCATGGGAATCAATGTCTAGCCATTTGGGGAAAACTGTTTGCAATACATATGCTTAACAAAGAGTTAATAGGCTTACTACGTAATAGCACACATCAATCAGAAAAATTGTAAGATCCTCTTGTAGGGGGAAAAATGATTAGATACTTCATAGCAAATCTGCTGATATTTTTATCTGGAAGTCACTCTTGTATTTTTTTTTAATTTCCATTCAAATGGTTTTATATTTTTTGTCCTGCTTTATTGAGGTTTGATTGACAAATAAAACTTGTATATATTCAAGGTGTATAATGTGATGATTGGATATATGTATACATTGTGACATAATTACCAATCAAGCTAATTAACATATCCGCCACCTCACATTGTGTGTGTGTGTCAATCATGATAATGACTGCACTACAGAAACATGTGTGTAATGAGAACACTTGATCTACTCTCATAGCAAATTACAAGTATACAATACATTATTATTAAGTATCGTCAGTCACCTTGCTGTACATTAGATCTCTAGAACTTATTCATCTTATAACTAGAAGTTTATACTCTTTGACCAATATTTCCCCAGCCCCTGGTAACCACCCTTCTATGGCTTCTAGTGAGTTCAACATTTTTAGATTTCATCAACAAGTGAGATCATGCAGTATTTGTCTTTCTGTGTCTGGCTTATTTCACTTAGAATAATGTCCATCCATGGTGTCACAAATGGCAGGATTTCCTTCTGTTTTTTAAGGCTAAAAAATATTCACATATATGTACATGATATATATATATATATATATACAGTTTCTTTATCCATTAATTCATTGATGGACACTTAGGTTGTTTCCATTATCTTGGCTGTTGTGAGTAATGCTGCAATAAATATGGGAGTGCAGTATTTTTTCAACATTCTGATTTCATTTTCCTTGGTTATAGACTCAGAAGTTGGATTGCTGGATCATATGGTAGTTCTATTTTTAATTTTTTGAGAGACCTCTATACTGCTTTAGATAATGGCTGTACCAATTTACATTCCCATCAACATCGTGCAAGGCTTTCTTTTTTTTGTTTTTTGTTTTTTGTTTTTTGTTTTTTTTGAGACAGAGTCTCAATTTGTTGCCCAGGCAAGAGTGAGTGCCGTGGCATCAGCCTAGCTCACAGCAACCTCAAACTCCTGGGCTCAAGCAATCCTTCTGCCTCAGCCTCCCGAGTAGCTGGGACTACAGACATGCGTCACCATGCCCGGCTAATTTTTTTTTATGTATATATATTACTTGGCCAATTAATTTCTTTCTATTTATAGTAGAGACGGGGTCTCGCTCTTGCACAGGTTAGTTTTGAACTTCGGAGCTCAAACGATCTGCCCGCCTCGGCCTCCCAGAGAGCTAGGATTACAGGCATGAGCCACCGCGCCCAGCCTAGGCTTTCTTTTTCCCCATATCCTCACCAACACTTGTTTTTTCAACTTTTTATCATACCTATGCTAGTAAGTGTGAAATTATATCTCATTGTGGTTTTGATTTGCATTTCCCTCATTATTAGTGATGTTGTACATCTTTTCATATACCTGTTGGTCATTTGTATGTCTTTGCAAAAATATCTATTAAGGTCCTTTGCCCATTTAAAAAATCAGGTTATTTGCCTTTTTTTTTTTTTTTACTATATAGAATTGCATGAATTCCTTATATATTATTTTGGATATTAACCCTTTATCAATATATGGTTCATAAATATTTCTTCCATTCTGTAGGTTGCTTTTCCATTTTGTTGATTATTTCCTTTGCTGTGAAGAAACTTTCTAGTTTGATGTAATTTCATCTGTCTAATTTTGCTTTTGTTGCCTGTGCTTTTGGTGTCATACCTGTATTTTCATTTTCTCACACCAGAGAAAATGAAGCAACAAATGAAGAACATGAGAACACGGGGGTAGAAAATTCCAATGCAGACATCAGACAGCTGACCAAAATTTTCACTATCAAAAGGACAGGTGTGATGTTCATCCTAGCTCATGGAGCATGCATCGTCAACCTTTCTATTACCAGGTACTATTTTTTTTTCTTTTTTTGCCTAATTTTCCTGTTCTCTAATGAATGGCCTCCAATTGATCACATCTCTTTGAGTCATATTTCTTAAACCCAAAGGAAGACTAGATCTGTGTTCTCTTTACTGAGAACAGGTGGAGTTGGAGCTGACCTTGAAGGATTAGAAGGGTTTTGTCAAGCAGAGAATACGAGGGGGGAAATTCCAGCAATCCCCATGTGCACGAATGTGTGTGCAAGAAGGTGAACAAAAGCATGAAACTGCAAGAAGAGCTACCTTAAAGACTGAGCTGGGGGTCTAGAGGAGAAGGATGTAATGTAAGGAAGACATTATCAAAGTAAAAATGAAGAAATTGGTGGTGAATTGGATGGGCTGAGTGTTGAGGGGTACAGGGAGGTGGGTAAAGGATGGGCAAGATTTGCTTATTAAGCCTTTCAAAATAACTTTTCTTTTTTGGAATTAACCTTTTAAAAAAAAATTTCAGCATATGACGGGGGTACAAATGTTTAGGTTACATAGATTGCCTTTGTTCCACCTGAGTCAGAGCTTCAAGCATGTTCAGCCCCCAGACTGTGTGCACCCATTAGGTGTGACTATGCCCACCCCTCCGCCCCCCACAACCTGCATGACACCCAATGAATGTTACCACTATATGTGCACTTAAGTGTTGGTCAGTTAAGTCAGTAAATAACAATTTGATGGTGAGTACATGTGATGTTTGATTTTCCCTTCTTGGGATACTTAGTAGAATGGGCTCCAGCTCTATCCAGGATAATGCAAGAGATAAAAAGAAAACATCTTCTAGACAAATTATGACTCTAAAGAGACTTCCTTGAAACATACTAGATATTCATCTAAATTATGTTTGTCCTTCCAAGTAGTTACTTTGAAAGACTAAACATTTATTCCAGTGATACTAATAGTGTTTAAAAAAAATCTTCAGCGGTCACCTTCGGGAATTGCCTTTAGAGTGGTATTTACAAGCTACTGAAGAACATCGATTGGTCTTGTTATCTCACCGTTTTCTATATCTCTACATCCCTAAATAAGTAAAAACATTATATATGCATATAAAATATATACAATTAAAATTTATCCAGCTGGACATTTCTTTTTTTTTTTTTAATTTTTAAAATAAACTGGAGTAAGTGGCAAATGGCTTTTATCTATTTCTAAAACTCAAATACAATCTAAAAAGGATTTCGTTTGCAGACTCAGAATACCAAAAAAATGTGCTGCGGGCTATGATGCAATCTTCAAAGAGGAATTCCAACCATATTTGGAGCAGCCACAGCATTGTTGTCCTGCGAAGTCCCCACCCCACCAGTGACTGTTGACAGCAGGGGCCGTATTCTGTGCATATCTGCATTCTGGGGCTTCCTTGTTTCTGTGGCTGGAAAAGCTGTTGTAGGACAGTTTATGGTCTGCAGTAGTGTCTGGCTGGTGGCCTTCAATGCAGCCCCTCAGAATAAGAACCTGTCTCTCAATTACCGGCGAAGACCGGACAAAATTGGTGAGGGGAGGAGGAGTTTTCTAATACCCTCAACAACTAAGACAGGTGACCTAACGACAGAGAGGGACTGGACATCAGGTATGCACATAGCAGACCCTGACTTTGTTTCACAAAAACAGAGCCCCTGTGCAAAGGGAGGGAAGGCCTTTCCTATGACTTGAACTAGAAAATAGGCTTCCGTGTGACTCTACGTACAGAGTCCACCCGGGTGGGCAGGAAGAACATGCCTCCACCATGACTGTAGTATTCACAAGCATTATTCTGGATCCAGATGGAACGCAAAGCTTAGAGCTGAGCAGCACAGTGAGGAGGTACAGGCTACACGCACACAGGCCTGCAAAAAATTGCCCAAGCTGTGTGTGTGTGAGAGTTGAGTGTGTTGTGAATGTGTTGTGTGTATATGTTGCATGTTTGTGTGTGAAGGATTTTGACTAGAAATATGATTATTTTCTAGATTATGTTGGAAGAATTCATATTTTACTCTGTACTAAATATTTCTCTTCACTCATAAGGTATGTCTTTTCACTTGGTGACATATTTTTATTTCTTGGGAAATATCTGTGCTTTTTTTTTCAAATAATTAAAATTTATTTGTATGCATTTTATACTTTCACAAATAGATTAATTTTGGATTATATTTTTAAAACGTTATAAGACTTTCAATTTTTGAATATTTATATTATATCCTGAAAACTTTCTGAACTATCTTTTACTCTTTTACGTTTCAGTAGTATTAGTCTGTTAGACTTACGTTTCAGTAGTATTAGTCTGTTAGACTTTCTATTATCTGCAAGTTTTGTTTTCTTCATGCCAATATTTAAACCTATTATTTTGTTCTCTTGTCTAATTGCAATGTCTGTCACGGAATAGCAATATCATACCACGGAGATTATACATGCTTCAGCACTAAGCATGATATCAGCTTTTGGTTTAAGATTTGTTTTGCTGTTAAGGAAATATTCACCTAATCCCATTTCACGAAGAGTATTTATCAGGAATGGACACCAAATTGTATGAAATATTTTGTTGATACCTACCAATACAATCATCTGCTTCTATCCTCCTTTCATCCACATGAATAGATTACTTAATATTTAGCCACCTCTCCATTCTTGGAATAAACAGTTGTAGTCATGGCGTATTGAGATTCTATTTGCTAATACTTTATTAAGAACTTTTTAAAAACCAATTTTGAGATATCTCTAGTTTTCTCTTAGGTATTATGTATATAAAAGAACAATATATTGGTTTTTGCTAATTGGCAAGAATTTCCTTTTTCTCTGCTCTCGAACGGTTTAAATAGCATAGGAATTATCTGTCTTATCCCATCTGGTTTTCCAACCGTACCAGCATGGGATTGTTCAACGTTTCCTGTGATTGTGAAGTAGACTTTGCTTCCAGACACTGCTCCAATCTGATAGAAAATGATGATGAAGAAGAAATGGCATGCTTGGCAGGACAGTATCTCTTGCAACACCACATTCCTTAGTCATCATGATGGGTCAATGTGCCCAAAGGCGGCCCCAGCGGTTTGCCCAGGCTCCTAGCATGCACACGGTATTGGTGGGATCCTTTGGAATTCTTACACTTAGGACCTGGCACACTGCACCGTGCTCATGAACTAGAGATTTGTATAGGTCATGGCCTCTCTTAATTTGTTCAAATTGACATTATATCTGACTGAATTCTTCAGAGTGTATAGTACTATGTTGAGGCCTTTCCTTGCTACAGTATAAAGTTCTTTTCTTTATTTTCAGTTTTTTGTTGTTGTTGTTGTTGTTTTTTGAGACAGAGTCTCACTCTGTTGCCTGGGCTAGAGTGCCGTGGCGTCATCCTAGCTCACAGCAACCTGAAACTCCTGGGCTCAAAGCAATCCTTCTGCCTCAGTCTCCTGAGTAGCTGGGACTACAGGCATGCGCCACCATGCCCGGCTAATTTTTTCTATATATTTTTTTGTTGTCTAGCTAATTTCTTTTTATTTATTTATTTTTTAGTAGAAATGGGGTCTTGCTCTCGCTCAGGCTGGCCTCGAACTCCTGAGCCCAAACAATCCGCCTACCCTGGCCTCCCAGAGTGCTAGGATTACAGGCATGAGCCACTGTGTCCGGCCTATTTTCAGTTCTTTCTGTTCATTCCTGTTTGTGTTGACATAGGGCTTTGGGGCTAACATGCACTTCTGCCATCATTTTCCTTATGAGTCCTCACAGATTGTTTCACTTTGGAAAAGTCCATGGGTCAATAGTTTAAAAGGTCCTTTGGGAAAATAAATTACTGTGGAATACCTAGAAAATTTTGAAAAAGAAAATGCTTTCCCTACCAGATAGTAAAGTGTACCGTACAGCTGCAGTGAATAAATTGGGACGGGTGCTGGAATAAACAGACCAATTAAGTGAAAGTACAGGAACTTGTCCAAGGCAAACACTGCCGTCAACGTTTCTGTGTAGTTCTAAATTTTGTTTCTATGCAGGCCTAACTTTTGTAATCTTGCAGGCCCAGGTGTGTGGCGCAAGGGGAGGCTAGATGAGAGATTCAGATTAAACAAAAGCCCCTGGAATGGCGCTGAAGTTATTGCAGGTCAGTAACACCCCTTGGCCCTTGTTCCTGGCAGAAACCAATGCAAATTCTTTCTTGAGAAAAATATTGTCAATTTAGATCCTCAGCACTCCTGTTTTTATGAACTGTATCATCTCAAAGACCACCAGACATTCAAGGAGACAAGTCACTATGACTGAGACTTGAGGGACTTCAGGTACTAGACTTATTAGACACAGAATATAAAATAACTATGCACAGAATATTTATAGAAATAAAGATTGAATTTAAAAAAATGAGTAAGTAATCAGAGAGTATCCATTGTGACTGGGAAGATTTAAAATTAACCAAATTGGGTTGGTCGATGGTAGTGGGTTATCAGAACTTATTAACATAAGGTAACAAGTTATTAACTTATTAATAAGTTATTATTAACTTATTATTATTAATAAGTTATTATTAATAACTAAAGTCAGTACACAGCCCCCCAATATTAAATTTGACTGGCTAAAACAAATGAACAAAAAACAAATTGAGGCCGGGTGCGGCGGCTCACACCTGTAATCCTACCATTCTGGGAGGCAGAGGCGGGGAGGATCATTTGAGCTCAGGAGTTCGAGACCAGCCTGAGCAAGAGCAAGACCCTGTCTCTACTAAAAAATAAAAAGAAATTAGCTGGACAACTAAAAATATATAGAAAAAATTAGCTGGACATGGTGGCACACACCTGTAGTCCCAGCTACTTGGGAGGCTGAGACAGGAGGATTGCTTGAGCCCAGGAGTTTGAGGTTGCTGTGAGCTAGGCTGACACCATGGCACTCTAGTCCAGGCAACAGAGCAAGACTCTGTCTCAGAAAAAAAAAAAAAAAGAAAAATTGAAACATGTCTCAGTTATATTTTTAAGTAAAAAAAAATAAACTGATATTAGCATATATAGTGTGCTTTTGTGTAAACAAAAAAGAAAAATGAGAATACATATATGTCTTTACCTGTATGAAGAAACATTGGAAATGTACATAAGAAACTAATTAGTTTAATTAATTTGAATGAGAGTGGAGTAAGAATGAAACCTATTTATATTTTTAATATCATTTTGATTTTTGAATCATGTGGCTTTAGTATCTGTTCCAAAATCAAAATGAAAACATCAAATGAGTTACACAGAATATTAAATATATATGAAGAGAGAATTAGCAAACCAGGAAGACAGATCTAAAGAAACTGCCCAGAACAAAGAACAGACAGAAAAAGGTGTGTAAAATATGAAAGAGAGGTTGAGATATGGAAGATAGAAGGTGAAATCTAAAATACACGTAATTAGGACTTCAGAAGAGAGACTAGGGAGAATGGAGAAAGGCAATATTTGAACATTTTGAAATTTAAGTGTTTATAAATTCGTATGTATGTCTCTACTGATTATACGAATGACTAATTAAAATTTAGCAATGACGGGGGTTCCTGCATTTGGGTGTATGAAAAACTGTTTGAGGGGTCTACACCGTGAATTAATGGAGGAGTATGGGGCAGAACGGAAGACTGAGAAAATGGTACTGAAATGGTGAATGTCCCCAAGGGCAACACCTGATGGCATTGAAGATGGGGAAGTGTGAGGTTCCAAGGAGTCTGGATTATGGAAATGGTGGTGGCAGCAGAGAGCAAGGAGGAAAGCAGCTTGAGCTGTGTGCTTATGGGAAATGGTATGTTCCCAAGGGAATCTAGAAAATTTAAAAATAAACCTATAGTTTGTACTGTGTTTACTCAGGATATTTTTAGGTTTTTTTTTTTTTTTTCTTTCAAACAGGGTCTTGCTCTGTTGCTGGGGCTAGAGTGCAGTAATGCCATCATAGCTCACAGCAACTTCTAACTTCTGGGCTCAAGTGATCCTCCTGCCTCAGCCTCCCAAGTAGCTGGGACTACAGGGGTGTGCCACCACACTGGCTAATTTTTCTATTTTTTTGTAGGGTTCTTGCTTTCGCTCAGGCTGGTCTTGATCTCCTGACCTCGAGTAATTCTCCGGCCTCCGCCTTCGAGAATGCTAGGATTACAGGTGAGAGCTGCCACGCCAGCCTCACCATCCCTATTTTAAAATTGATAGAACTGAGGTTTAGAGAGGTTAAATCACTATCCAAGGTCACTTAGCAGTACCTAACTGAGCTGGGATTCTAACCCAGAGCTTTGTGCTGTACCTCCTGAGCTTGGAAAGTTACTGTGTATACAAAGTTATATAAAGACAGAAATTTATCTCATTGTTAGAGGATTCTCTGGGCAGTAACTTAACTTCCTATTTTCTAAAGAGATAAAAAAAAAAAAAACACAAAAAAAACCCTGACCCCTGGTATTAAACGTCAAACACTAGCAAATGTTTCTTTTTGCTTTTCAAATGTAAGGGGGACACAACAAGTGTTCTGTTTTTCTAGTTTCAATATAATTCATTTTGTTTCCTCATAAACATAGTTTCAGTCTTGCAAACTTTGATTTTAGGGTGCGAATATGTGTTTGTTCTAGGTGCCTGTATATCCAGACAATGTGTAGGATAGTTAATTTTTAAATGCCTCGTGGCAGCTGGTTTAAATAGTATTACAGCTGCTAGGAGGGTTGACAGTTGAGAAATAAATGAGTGTGCCTCCTAACAAACTACTAAATGAATGACTCCTTTCTTGCTCTTGGTAATTACATTCTCATATTCAACTCCATATTGGAAGTAGCTTCTCTTTCATTTCTTGTGATATTTAAGCCATTTTTTCTTTGCACGGCCACCAAAGCACCCCGGTGTGCACTTTTGTGCCTTTCTACTTCTTACCCATGTTAGAAACTTCCTGAGTACCCTTAAGCAGACTGGAAAATACCCCAATTCAAAGTATCAATGCCATTTTCCTTAAAAGACATCCTAGGTAAACTGATTTGCAGAGAATATGCTTGTCACCTGAAGGCGTCTTGGTCGTGTGTCCCTTCACACCAGACCTGGTCAAGGCTGTCCTGTCCCAGTTTCAGGAAACAGCATTACTTTGTCAACTGATTGGGAAGCCGCAGATCAGTGGTTTGCAACCTTCCCTGCACATGACAAGCACCTGGGGAGCTTTAGAAACTACTGATGCTCAGGTCTCACATGCAGAGATTGAGATTTAATTGGTCTGGAGTGCCATGTGGGCATTGAGATTTTTTTTTAAAAAATTCACCAGGTAATTCTAATGTGCAGCCAAGTTGGGAAACCACTGCCTCACAGGCCCAGGGTGCGGTCTTAGTCACTCTCCTGTTTGCAGCAGAACAAAAGGGAACAAGCATGTGCAAGGCAAAGCCATGGCTACTACCTTGGTTTTCAGGAAGCAGTGTCCCTGGGAGGTTGGTGGCAGTATTTCCCATTAGCCTCCTTCCCCAGTGTCTGTCCTCAGGATCATACTTGCCAGAGAAAGAATTAACTTCATCATTGCTTTTAGCAATGGGAAGGGTGTAATTGATTTTCTTATTTTTTTAATCTGGTGCTTAATGTTGAACTGAGACTATGGCAAGCCTTAGTGGCAATACACATTATATAAAGCCTGTAACTAGCACCATTTTATGATAATCGCATAATAATTTTAGTTACAATGAGAAAATTATGAATGTCTATAAGTCTTTGATAGCATGTTGTCATTTTAGTCTCTTTCCACTGACTCTTTTATCTTGGGCCACAGTTGTGTAAATCTTCCCTGGGCTTTAAAACATTTTCCTTTTTCCTGCTTCCCACTCAAGCCACTACATCACCTCCGTCCATCCTCTCACTGCTAAATTCTTCTAGAGAGCAATCTATACTTTTTACTCATTCCCAAATATCCCCAAATCTAGCTCCCATCTCCATAGCCCCATGAATCTGCCTACAACCCAAATCCACTAGGTTCTCATTCTCCATTTTACTTGGTATTTAACACCATTAAAAAGGCTATGAAGCAATGGAAATAAAAATAATTTTATCTTTACACAGGATACATAGTTCAGAGAAATATAATTGAGTCCAGAAATAACCTTGAGTCTATGTGAGTAATTAAAATATAGGATAAAGATGAACTTTAAGTGGGAAAACAATCACCTATTAATATTTAATCACTGGTGCTGGTTAATGCATCATGAAGAAAATGAACTTGGACCTTGTCCTTCCATATTGTGTAGAAAAAAGTAAATCTCAGATGGATTAAAGATTTAAAGGTGAAAATAAGAAGAAAATGTAGGAGAATAGAGGCATAAACTTGGGTATGGGGAGTATTCACAAGCAAGTCAGGAAACCTAGAATTTACAAAGAAAGATATAGATACAGTTGATTACATTAAAAATCTTTTTGTATACTGAACGAACACTAAAAGCAAAAGCAAAAAGCAAATGATAAACTGGGAAAAATATTAGTATTATAACATGTATAATAGACAGAAATTAAATGTCTTTAACTTACAGGTATCTCCTACACAGTGGTAGAAAAAAACCCAAGAAACTCAATTTAAAAATGGGCCAGGGATATAAATAGGCAATTTACAGAAAAGGAAATTCAGCTGGACAATAAATATGAAAGAGAGGGGAATACAAATTAAAGCAATTATAAAATACCATTTTTTTGCTTGTCAAATTGGCAAAAAGTAAAACAGAACTGATCATGTGGTAGGAACATGAATTTCTATAGTCTTTAGGAATGCAATCAGGTATATCTGTTCAAACCAAAAACTTATCTTTGGCCTTGAAGTCTCACTTTTGATAATCAACCACCCAGGAAATGTAAGCACACGTGTACAAGGATCTTTACTGCACCTTTGCTTATCTTAAATGTCGGAGAGGAGGGGCACAGAGTCTGTCACTTGGATTTTAGGGGCTGGGTGGGTCCAGAGAGAAATCTTAGGGACAATATAGTCTTTCCTGAACTGACCTGCATCTTATTATTTATTATTCGGCTCCTTTTTGTCCTTGCTGCTTTTTCTTTTATTGCATGTTTGCAATAGCGACAGAAATATTTTTAAATCTCTCACTTTGATTATAGTTTTTTCATTTCCTCCTTTTTTTCCAGAAGCTTTTAATTTATACATGTTGCTGCCATGTTATGTGATGCAAAAAGATCATAGCTTTTTTCAGTTGTCAGTTATGAGCCCTTTGCCAATTTAATTCTTTTCCTGGAATTCAATTTTATCTAAAATGATAACTATAACCCTTGCTTTCTGTTTGGTTTGCATTTGCCTCATATTTACTTCTCTGTCTTTTTACTATTCTGTGCCATTTTTATGTTTTTCAAGGCTTTGGATATAATAGATCACATCTTAAATTCTACTTATGGTTTCCTCTAAGGTTTTTTAAAAAGCATTCTTTAAGCCATAATTCTCAATTCGTCAATAATAGGATTTAAGTAGGGGAATATGCTTTCATTATTCAACAGGAAGCATTTAGAAAACATTTGCTTCCCCTGCTTTTGAAAGAGCATGTAAAACACTGTAATTCTGGGAGTATCCTGTGCGTAGCAGTGGTCCTCATTTTTGTACTATATAGGTGCTTCTTATTAACCTATGGAGTGGAAGGAGGAAAATTAGTCTGTTTAGCCACAAGCTCTCTCATGCTAGGGAGAACCGTCTCTATTGCTGTTGGTCTCATGTCTCTCACTGTAGCAATGGGTCTGATAGCGTGGTCTTCTCTGCCAAAGAAGGCCGTACAAGACAGGGGTTAAGAGCATGCGCTCTAGGGTCACTCCTCTAAGGTTTGCACCCTGACTTCATCACTTACTATGATAACTGGGTGGCCTTGGATGATTTACTGAACATATTAAGCTTCCTCATCTGAAAAAGCAATGGGGATGGCAATAGTATAATTCCAAAGGACGATTCTGAGGATTAAATTACATAATCCATATTCCTGGCACATACTAAATGCTCATTAAATGTTAGCTGGTCTTCTTATTTTTATCACCATCATCATTATCCGCCATGAAAGGGGACTGATGAACTTTCAGGATCATTTTCTGCCAGAGCCCAACAAAGCGGCATAACAATGGTTGCTCTCTCCTGCCCTGGAACTTTCTGCTCACAACTTTCCCACAGACCAAACACATGCTGGCCCATAATGGGACAGTCACAGATCTGTTAGTGAAGAGTACGTGTGCCATCACAGAGCAGAAATGGAGACTTTCTTCTCCAGTTTACTCACTCCCATCGTGTAATGTAAAGGTCAAGCCCTTCCCAGCTCCAGAAAGGTGTTCCATGCAGAGCCCTCTTTCCCCTCACCTCTCCATAGCTCTTCTTCCCACTTCCCTCTGCAGCCTTCTCTGAAGTCTCCACATTTCCTACTTCTGCCTTCAATTTCCTGGAAAACTTCACCTCATTCCAAGGGAGATTAAAGTTGTGCCCTGGAAACTTCAAAATGCAATTTTAATGTCACCCTGCTGCTAGGGCAGGTATCCTCTGCTCAGACTGCCAGCTTCAAAGGGAGGGTGGGGTCCAGGCCCATCAATAGGGGTCGATGGTGACTTCTTTTCTGGGTTAATTTTCCCTCCAACAAGAACCACAGCTGATTCAGTCTCACCAGTTCCTTAAGCAGCAAGTTCACATCATTTAGCTGAGGGTGCAGCAATTTTTTTTTCTTTTGGAAAGGATCAGGTACTAAATATTTCAGACTTTGAGGGTCTCTGTTGCAAGTCCTCAACCCTGCCATGTTGCACAAGAGCAATCACAGGTAATACCCAAAAGAATGGGCATGGCTGTGTCCTGATAACTTTATTAATGGAAACTGAAATGTGAATTGCATAAAATTTTCACGTCATGAAGTGTTATTCTGTTGATGTTCCTCTCAACCACTTAAAAGTGTAAAATCCATTCTTAGCTTATGAGCTACACCAAAACAGCTGGCAAGCTGGAACTGGCCCATGGGCCATAGTTCACTGACACTGATACAGGTACATCATTAAGTTTTCTTTGGTCCTACCTTGCTGGTCCCTTCCAGTATTTTACTTGTGGGGACAACAACTCTTGTGATACAGTGAACCATAACCAGGCCTTCCCCCTACCTGCCATGCTGTCTGCCCAGTTCTTAGTTGTCTTTTTCTGGAGATACAAAATTATTCTCCTTTATTTTATTCCTTATGGTTTGACTTTTTATATATATCATAGTAAGAGTGATAGGTATTGTAAGAATATGTTTTCCTCTCAATAGCAGCCAATTATTCTAGCACAATCGCAAAAATATCCAATATAGTGAATGATATTATTCTTCCCGGGAAATCTGTGGTGGCTTTTAACCACTTCGGTACGGCGCTCACTGGCAGCGAAACCTTGCCCACAGCCGGCACTCGTAGTCCGCACAATAGTCTGTGCTGTGCATTGACCACGAATCCGTTTTGCTCTTGTGTGATGAGGAAAACTTGAAAGCACTGAAAGCTTGTTTTACTTTACAGGCAGCTTTACTTGTAATGTAAATCAGAATAGGTAACATATACATATATGTTTTCATTACGTTAGTTTTAAATGTTCACAATTTTATTTTGATAAATGAAAAATTAGAAAAGTCCTATCACAGCTGTCGGCCAAAGTCGCTGTGCGTGTTCATCTGTGGCTGTCAACCATAGTCGACGCTGGTCCCGAAGTGGTTAAAGAGATGATATATTGAGTTGTTTTCTATGCTAGGACCTGTTTCTTGGCTAATTCTTCTTTTCTATTAATTTCTCTCAAATCTCATGTGATTTGATTTTATTCTTACACTTATTCATAATGTATTTTAATAGAGAGCAGAGCTAGCGTCCCCTTTGATGTTTTTCTTTTTTGAAATTGTTCAGCTATTTGTGGCAGATTTCAGGTTGACTTCTGTACCCATCCAAATCCTCCCTTCTCCTCTTCATTGAAGAAGATGAACATTCAAGTCTCCTCTGTTGTCCTGGGCAGACAGAGGACCCAGTTCTAGTTAGTTAGACTGAAGTGAGGCCTACAGGGGCTGGGTGGTGGAGGTGGGATGGGAAAGCTTTTACTTTGCTGACACAGGATGCAGTTGCATCTGTCTTGAAAACAGGTGTGTGGTGGCCATCTTGAACTTAAGAACCATTTTGTCATGTTAAAAAAAAGTTAAGTCAATTGAGCAGGGGCCTTTTATATAGCTCTGTGGAATAATAGAACTATCTCATAAAATGACCTTTCTCTAGAGCTGTGGGGAACATTAAGCAAATTCCCAAGACTGAGTTTCATTTATTTATCCATTTAACAAGGCTTGGTTGAACCTTTCCTATATGCTATGCGTGGGAGATAAAAAAAAAAGACCTCATTGTCCAAGGCTGATGAGTGCACGGATTAGGAGTAAGAAATCAGTCTGGATGATGGGTTCTATTTTCCATTTGACAGAATAATGTTTAAGTTTAGGTATTAGATGCCTGCTTTGTGAACTCTTTACAAGAGCAATTTCCTAGCACAAACTGTTTAAATTTCCTAGGCTCAAATGTCCACCAATCCCTACCCTCCAAGGACGATTTTTTTTCTATCTCAATTGCTTGTGTAGGGAACATTCTCTTCCAGGAAGCCTGGCTACCCTACTGTAGCATGTGGCTGGAGGGGCCATGCCTGAAGCTAGTCATGTTGCCAGAGGGGCCTGAGATAGGCCCAGGGTTCAAGAACGACATGAATAGCAGGCACTATCAAGTGTGTGCTTTGAGATCAGGAGGAAGGATGAGGCCTCTTTAGGGCGAGGGATTGAAGTAGATTTCACAACAGAAGTGGCCTTTGACCTCCCATTCTTGGAATGATGGCTGAAGGTCCACAGAGCTTAAGCTATTCACCCAAAGCAGAAGTAAAACAGGCTTTCACGAGGGAAGTAGACATTGGCCAGTAGGTATTCTTTGTATCACAGATATAAAAATAGGAGTCTACCTGGAGTGGCAGCTGGTAGGGACTTGTGGTTGGTCAAAGTGATCAGCAAAGTTGCTTGTAAGCCAAGACTATGAGTCACCTTCAGCCTGGTGTCCCGGGGCAGGCTGAATCGAACACTTCTCTTCTTTGTCAGCATAACCGTGACTTCCCTATAGGTGTTTTCCGAGGAAACCAAGACCTGTGGCCATTGAGGTATGGAAGGACAGCCTGACCTCTTAGGCTTAGAATGTTGATGCCTGAACTTGCTCTGGAGCTAGAAAGCTCTGGTCCAAGGCAGGATAATTTACTGAGTTATTTGTCTTTGTTTTCTTTGTACATTGCTCAGCCTTCCAGGCAGGTAGCCACGACTTTATTCTCCCTTGCTGCAGGGCCCAAAGAAGAAGCCCACCTGCAGATCGCCTCCCTTCCCGGAGGGATTTGAACACATTGTGCCAGGGAAGGGAGTTGTAAAGTGTCTTTGAGGGGTAGAGTTCTTAGTCATGAGAGAGCTAAGATTCCCCAAGGGAAAGAATAGACGTCTACAGTTTTTTAAGTAATGGGGGCTCTGTGGTTCACACTCCACCTAACCTCAGGAAGATGATAGGACATTCAGGGACAACAACTGCATGTTGAGCTTAGGAAGGTCTTCCTGGACTTTGGGTATGGAGGTTTTCAGCTCTGTCAGAGATTTCCACGGGGCAAGAGGAATACCCACCTTCAAGGATCTCTGTGAGCTTTGCGTACAGGCATCTTGGTGGACGTCGTGTAGATAAGGGGTTGGCTCCTGGGTCAGATCTGTTTTTTGTATGACCTAAGGGCTAAGAATGGTTACATTTTAAATGTTTGGGGAACAAAAAAAGAATAATAATATTTTATGACACATGCAATTATATGAAATATAAATTTCATTGTCCATAAATCAAGACTTCTTGGAACACAGTCAAATTCATTCAGGTACCTATTGTCTGTGGCTGATTTCAAGCAACAGTGGCCGGAGTTGAGTGATTGTGGCAGAGAGCCACCTGGCCTGCAAAGGCTAAGACATTTACTGTCTGGTTCTTTATGAAAGAAGTTTGCTGACCCCTGATGCACCCCAATGACCAGAGTTGCCGCCTGAATGTTTTGCTTTCCATAACCACTTCTGGTTTCTAGAACTCTTAGGTCTTCTCCATTTCCACATGCCCAAATCCTACCACAAGGGCCCAGCTCTAGTGTTCTCCCTCCTCTCTGCCCCTAGAAGTCTTGCCTTGCTTTTCCAACTTGTAGGTCCACCCAACAACATTTTTCAGTGCAAACTTTCAAATATCCTGACTGATTTTCCTTAGGCAGACAGTTGGATCATTTCTCCCAAATTAGAAAGCTTTGTGTGATTTCTCCACCCTCTGAACCCCCACTGGATTCTGTTGCGTACAATCACATTATGGTAAGTTTTGTACAGGCGTACCTCTGAAATATGGCGGGTTCAATTCCATACCACTGTGATAAGGCAAGCCACCCCAATTTTTTGGAATCCCAGTGAATATAAAAGTTATATTTATACTATACTTCAGTCTATTAAGTATAAACTAGCAGTATGTCTAAAAAACAATGTATTTACTTTAATTAAAAATACTTTATTGCTAAAAGTAACAATCATCTGAGCCTTCATTGAGTGACCTTTTTGCTGGTGGAGGGTCTTGCCTTGTTGATGGCTGCTGACTGATCAGGGTGGTAGCTACTGAAGGTCAGGAGGGTGTGGCAATTTCTTAAAATAAGACAATGAGGTTTGCTGCATCAATGGACTCTTCTTTTCATGAAAGATTTCTCTGTAGCATGTGATGCTGTTTGGTAGCATTTTACTCACAGTAGAATCTCTTTCAAAATTGGAGCCAATCCTCTCAAGCCCTCCTGCTGCTTTATCAACTCAGTTTATGTAATATTACTTAGTTGTCTTTACAAAAATGTTCACAGCATCTTCACCAGGAGTAGATTCCATCTCAAGAAACCACTTTCTTTGCTCATCCGTAAGAAGCCATTCCTCATCTGTTCCAGTTTTTATCAAGAGTTCGCAGCAATTCAGTCACATCTTCAAGTCCCAGTTCTAATTCTAGTTCTCTTGCTATTTCACCCACATCTGCCGTGGCTTCCTCCACTAAAGTCTCAAACCCCTCGAGGTTATCCACGAGGGCTGGAATCCACTTCTTCCAAACTCCTGTTAATGTTGATTTTTTTTTCTTTTCAGAGACAGAGTCTTGCTCTGTTGCCCAGGCTAGGGTGTAATGGTGTGATCATAGCTCAGTGCAGCCTCAAACTCTCGGGCTGAAGTGATCCTCCTGCCTCATGCGCCCAAGTAGCTAGAACTATAAGCATGTGCCACCATACTTGGCTAATTTTCTTATTTTTTTGTGTGGAGATGGGGGTCTCATTATGTTGCCCAGACTGGTCTTAAACTCTTGGCCACAAGTGATCTTCCCACCTTGGCCTCCCGAAGTTCTGGGAATATAGGCATGAGCCACTGTACCCAGCTTAATGTTGAGATTTGTGACTTCCTCCTCTAAATGACAAATGTCCTTAATGACAGCGAGAATGTTGAATCCTTTCCAGAAGGACTCAATTTACAATTTACTTTGCCCAGATCCATCAGAAGAATCACTGTGTATGACAGCTCAAGCTTTATAAGATGTAGTTCTTAAATAATAAGACTTGAAAGTTGAAATGACTCCTTGATCCATGGGCTGCAGAATGAATGTTGTGTTAACAGGCATAAAAATAACATTAATCTCCTTGCACATTTCCATAAGAGCTCTTGGGTCATTAGTTATGTTGTTGAATTAGCAGTAGTCTTTTGAAAAGTATCTTTTCCCCTGAAGGTGTCAACAGTGGGCTTAAAATACTTAGTAAACCATGCTGTCAACAGATGTGCTGTCATCCAGGCTTCGTTCCTTTTACGGAGTGCAGGCTGAATAGATTTAACATAATTTTTAAGGACCCCAGGATTTTCAGAATGGTAAATGAGCATTGGCTTCAACTTAAGAGAGTCAGTCTGTCCTTCGATGCTTTGAAGCCAGGCATTGACCTCCTCTCTAGCCATGGAAGTCCTAGATGGTGTCTTCTTCCAATAGAAGGCTGTTCTGTTTATATGGAAAATGTGTTGTTTAATGTAGCCACCTTCATCAGTTATCTTAGCTAGATCTTGTGGATAACTTGCTGCAATTTCTCCACCAGCATTTGCTGCTTCATCTTGCCCTGTATGTTATGGAGATGGCTTCATTACTTAAACCTCATGAACCAACCTCTGCTAGTTTCCAACTTTTCTTCTGCAGCTTCCTCACCTCTCTCAGCCTTCATAGAATTGAAGAGTTAGGGCCTTGATCCGGACTGGGCTTTGGTTTAAGGGAATGTTGTGGCTGGTTTGATCTTCTATCCAGACCACTACAACTTTCTCCTATCAGCAATAAGGCTGGTTTGCTTTCTTATCATTCATGTGTTCGCTGGTGTATCATTTTTAATTTCATTCAAGAACTTTCCTTTGCATTCACAACTTGGCCAACTGTTTGACAAAAGAGGCCTGGTTTTCAGCCTATCTTGGCTTTCAACATGCCTTCCTGGCTAAACTTAATTATCACTAGCTTTTGATTCAAAATGAAAGACATGTGACTCTTACTTTCACTTGAACACTTAGAGGCCATTGTAGGGTTATTAATTGGCTTAATTTCAATATTCTTGTGTCTCAGGGATTAGGGAAACTGGAGTACAGGAAGAGAAATGGGGGAAAGGCTGGCTAGTGGGGCAGTCAGAATACATACAACATTTATCCCTTAAGTTCGCCATTTTATATGGGCGTGGTTCGTGTCACCCCCAAAACAATTACAATAGTAACATCAAAGATCACTAAACACAGATCACCACAACAGATATAATAATAATGGGAAAGTTTGAAATAGTGTGAGAATTATTACCATCTGACACAGAGACATGAAGTGAGCACATGCTGTTGGAAAAATGGCACCGATAGACCTCCTCAATGCAGGTTGCCACAAATCTCCAATTTGTAAAAAATGCAGTATGTGCCAATTGCAATCAGTGAATGCAATATAACGAGGTAGGCATGTACAGTTTTTGTGAGTTTCTTGAGTTCAGGGACTGAGTGTCACAGCTAAGCCTTGCTGGGCAGGAATCAGCAAAACCCGGTTCAAACTCCGGCTCCTCCACTGACTGTACCACTATGAACATGTCATTAAAAGTTTAAGCCTTAGTTCCCTCACCTGCAAAATTCCAGTGACAAGCCCCGTGCCCCTAGAAATGTGCGAAGCAAATGAGATAATGCCCCGAAAGTGCTTTTTAGGCCCCGGTCACTTCTGGACCCCTTGCAGTCCAACCCAGGAGGCGTGTGAAGTTGCTGGCACTCGTATCTGTGACAGTCACACTGAGGGGGCAAGATAAGGCCTTGGCTTTGAAAAAAACACTCTGCCCCATACATTTTTTCTTTTATTGGGGGTTGTGCCTAGTCCTGAGAGTCAATGCTATCCTCCTTCCCCCACCAGGCCCCTAACAATCGCGTCGTAATCTCATGATCATAGCTATCGTAGGAACACCCAAGAGGATGGGGCAGAGAGTTCGAATGGGATCAGGTGGGACCATAAATGTCAGAGAGGTGGAGGCCTGGAGAGGCCCCAAGCCCAGGAGGACGAGCAAAGCTGATAGAGACTTCCGCCAACGCTGCAGGCTGATGCACACCCCACGTCCGCAACCTTTTCTGAGTGCTCCGGCCTCTGGCACCCAGTCCCCAGTGCCACGGCTGACAGTGTGACTTTGCATGAGGAGATGTGACAGTTACCTCTCTGCTCCTGCTTGGCCTGGCTTTTGTGTAATCTCGCTGGAAATAGAGCCAACCATCCTCCAGAGGCCGAAGAAATCTCAGGATGTACATCCTGCAGAGATTGGATAATTCATATTCGCAACTCTCCAGATTTGTTTATTGTATTTTCTGAAATGGAGATACTGTTTGTACTTCCTCCTGTGAAATGTGCACTGACTTAAGTGACTTCCTTCACCCACTTAGCTGGCCTGCCTCTGTGAGCCCGCGCCGTCTGCGGGAGGTCGCCTCTGTCAGACGGGGCAGGATCCGAGCCTGGGAGTCAGGAATGTTGTTTTGTGGCTTTGCTCGAATCTCGCTTTTGCATTCATTTCTGTTCCTGCTATACAGAGAGAGACCTGACACAGAGGCTTTGTCTGCCTCTAGGACAGCTGTGAGGAAGTCCCCGAGGGAGGTATGTTGACTGGAGCCAGGCTGGCTCTGAGCCAATTCCTTGTCTAAGACACTTGTGGCAAGTCCTTGTGGTGTGAGGACAGGCTAGTCTGGGGAGGAGGCAGAGGTCACCCCGGAACCCCAGCCTGCACCTCCAGCGCCATTTTCTCCCCCCCACCCCCCGAGTCTCTGCCAGAGGACTCCCTGCTTCCAGATACATTTGACAGATTCTGTGCCTGGTGGAGTCTCCCCCCCAAGACTCTTATGGCTGGGCAGACCCACCTTCAGAGGATCCTTGTACCAGATGCAGCTGTTCTCGTTATAGTAACAATGGCTGAATACTTTCTCCCGATGGACCTTGTATGTAAGGCCATGGCTAAGCATGATGGCGCATACCTGTAATCCTAGCACTTTGGAAGGCTGAGGTGGGAGGATCACTTGAAGCCAGGAGTTTGAGACCAGCCTGGGCCACATATTGAGACCCCTACCTCTACAGATAAATTTAAAAGTTAGCCAAAATAAATGATCTGTCTGGATGAGGTGGTGCACAGCTAGAGTCCCAGCTACCTGGGTGACAGTGCAAGACCTTATCTCAAAAAAAAAAAAAAAAAAAAAAATAGAAAGAAAGAAAAGAAAAGAAAAAAAAAGTAAGGTCTTGAACTGGCAGGACTCTTTAACCTTTGGGTGAGGTCTAGAATTACCCTTGACAAGTGAGCAACTTCATTGTGCTGGTCCTTTACAGAGATTGATTTACTGTATTTGTCACCGTAACCCTGTGAGTTATGGAGCCAGGATCTGAACCCAGTATTTCTACCTCCACAGTCGGCTAAATCCTATGAGTCTGTGAGCCTATTCCAGAGCACTTGAATCAGAATTGGTGGGAGAGGAAGCTGCTGGTGCCCTGGGGGTTCTGCTGGGGCTTGCTGAGCCAGCATTCGTGTCTGCATTTCTCCTACTGGGCCTCCAATCTGGTGTAGCTCCGGGAGACTCGGGCTACACACTCATCTCGTCCTTGACATTTCTCTATCCTGCTGATAACCAAGTGTGAGAGAGCCACAGTGCTGACCGAAACTTCTAGAGTTTGCTTGCTTGTCAATTTCCCCCTCGTTTCATTTCCTGACTTGTAAACAGACAGGGTGAGAGCAGGTGACCAGCGTGTATGACAACCAAAGACCTCTGCTGTGCTCAGCACATCCTGTTATTGTAGATCTCAAGTCCTGCTCAGGCATCTACCGCCCCATTTTCCCTCCTTTTCCTGAGACTGTGGTCAGGGGAGTGATTGGATTTGTGGGAATAAAAGTTTAAATTTGAGCTGGGCAAGGTGGCTCAATGGGAAAGAAATTGGTAAAAGGTAGTGCATATCTTTATTTTTCTAGTCGATTCTAATATTGCCTTAGAACTCACCAAACTGAAAACTTTATTTTAGGTTGGGTGTAGTGGCTCAGGCCTGTAATCCTAACACTCTGGGAGGCCGAGGCAGGAGGATTGCTTGAGGCCAGGAGTTTAAGACCAGTCTAAGCAAGAGCGAGACCCCCATCTCTACAAAAATAGAAACATTAGCTGGGCCGGGTGGAATGTGCCTGTAGTCCCAGCTCCTTGGGAGGCTGAGGCAGGAGCATTGCTGGAGCCCAGGAGTTGGAGGCTGCAGTGAGCTATGATGACACCACTGTACTCTTGCCTGGGGAATAGAGCAAGATCTTGTCTCAAAAAAAAATTTTTTTTTAATTTTTTACTGTGAGAGTCAATGTGGTGCAGATGGAAGATTATGAGGCTTGGGATTAGCACTGGATTTAAATTCTAGTTCTAACAGCAAACTTCAGTTTCCCATCTTTACCTGGACATAAATAAAAATATTATTGAACTCTATTGTGGTGCTCAGAGGGCACAGCATGGGATACATGTGGTAAGTTATTGAGAATGTGGGATTCCGTCAGATTTAGAGAGACAAGCCAAACCCCACTGGGGACGCCCATTTTGGGGTAGGGTGGCAGTAATGAGAGAGCATGACTGTGTAGTTATCTCCACACCAGCCCCAGAGTTTGCTGGGCTGGGCAAACTCCCTGGATATGGCTGTCACCATCTTCCAGCAATTGCTGCCTGGAAGCCTGCCAAAGCACTCCTGGGGACCTTCCTGTGCAACCTACAAAGTCTTCTTATCAAACAGGCTCCGTTATGACATGGACCAGAGCAAAAGGGGGCGCTCCACAGTTGCTTCTCTCCGCTGAGACACGTATGATTGAGCGCATATCCTTGTTCTGTTTACTGGAGAAACAGACTGATTAACTGGCATGAGATGTTGAAACATGAAACTTACACTATCATTAGAAAAAAAAAATCAGTTCTAACCACAAAGGCAGTGAAAGTAAATTTGAAAGCACAATGCAGCATGGTTGAAAGAAGAATATACTAATATTAGTCAATGATTCTTGGACACTTTGCACAGTGTATTTTATTTAATTTTCATAATGAGCCCTATAAACTGGGTGTTACTGTTATCGCCATTGTTATGGATGGGGAAACTGAGGCTTTGAAAGTTGAAATAACTTGACTCCACAGCTACATAGCTGGTCTGTAGTGGAGCTAGAATTCAAATCCAGACAGTCTGAGTCTAATGTTTACACTGTCATCTGTTAAGTCATGTCTTTAGGCCCTCCAGGTCTGCTGTTGGTTCTCTGAAGCCTGGTTGAGTTAGTGATTTCACCATCCCACTTGTCACCCAAACTCAGGAGTCATCCTTGACTAGGCCTTCTTTGTCTCCCTCGCATCCAGTATTTGTTTAACATGTTTATGTTTTACCATGTGCCAGATGGTGTGTACAATGGCAAATAAGACAGCAAAGAAACCTGCCCAAGCTGAGCCGATCCGAGTCTCCTCTGGTGTTGCGAAATTTGGAATCAGATGGAGGAAATATCAGTCTCCTTCTGGTGCTGAAACAGCGGGATGCAGGACTGGGAGCCTCCGGCAGCTGTATTTCCTGTTGTGTGAGGATATAAAGAGGAATGTAAGCTGAGATTCAGAGGCAATCAGAAATGAGAGATGGGCAGGAGACCCTGGCAGCAGTGTCCAGCTGTTCCAGCTGTTCCTGGGCCAGTCGCTGCATTTATGGTAGCCTTCTGATAATTTCTACTTTTTACCTAATGGTTAGCAGTTGTGTTTTCTGTCACTTGCAACCAAACCATTCTTGAATGATGCAAATCTAAACAAAAAGGCACCCACAGCCTCACCCTTAAAGATTACCCATTTTCTCATTGTGGTGTATAACCTCCCAGTAGCATCTCTTAGAGCACCTGTCCAGCTCCCTATTCCTGGCCATGGTCCCTGGTTCACAGAGAGTGACCTCCAGTTGCCATGTCAATACCACTTGTTCCTACCCACCTGGCCATAGTTTATTAATCCGGATGTTCACTTTCGGCCCATGTTGGGCCAATCAGAAACCTTCTTCAAATTTTACATTTGGACTATAAAGGCATGGGGCCTAGAAAGGAATCATTTCATCAAAGCTGTAGAGGAAGAAGTTCCTCAAATTCATCAGTGAGAAGGATCCTGGCATTATTCTTGTTCCTTATCTGACCATATCTTGAAAGTACAACTCCTCTTCCAAAGTCCAGAGTGCTGTTACATGATGGTCTCCAACCCTTCCTTCAGTTTCATGAGATATTCCGATGTTTTTCCAATAAATTCATCCCTCTTTTTTTTTTCTTAAGTTAGCCTAGGTTAGCTTTAGTTTCTTACAAACAAAAGAACTTGAACTCTTAAAATGTGTGTGCAGGCCGGGCGCGGTGGCTCACGCCTGTAATCCTAGCACTCTGGGAGGCTGAGGCGGGCGGATTGCTCAAGGTCAGGAGTTCAAAACCAGCCTGAGCGAGACCCCGTCTCTACCATAAAAATAGAAAGAAATTAATTGGCCAACTAATATATATAATATAAAAATCAGCCGGGCATGGTGGCGCATGCCTGTAGTCCCAGCTACTCGGGAGGCTGAGGCAGGAGGATCGCTTGAGCCCAGGAGTTTGAGGTTGCTGTGAGCTAGGCTGACGCCACGGCACTCTAGCCTAGGCAAGAAAGCGAGACTCTGTCTCAAAAAAAAAAAATGTGTGTGCAAACATAATATATAACATATAATATATAATAAAAATAGGGTCATACTCCACAAACTATTTTAAATATATCATGAATATTTTTCAAAGCCAATAAATATTTATTTTTAATAATATAACAATGTATATATGTCCTATTGTTTATTTAACCTACTTCTTATTTTTGGTCATTGAGGGAGTTTAACACTTTTCTTTTTCTTTTCTTTCTTTTTTTTTGAGACAGAGTCTTGCTCTTTCTCCGGGGTGGAGTGCTGTGGTGTCAGCCCAGCTCACAGATACCTCAAACTCCTGGGTTCAAGCAACCTTACCTCAGCCTCCCAAGTAGCTGAGACTACAGGTGCCCACCACCATGCCCAGCTAACTTTTTCTTTTTTTAGTAGAGACAGAGTCTTGCTCTTGCTTGGGCTGGTCTCAAACTCCTGAGCTCAAGCAATCCTCCCACCTCAGCCTCCCAAGAGTATTAGGTTTACAGATGTGAGTCACCTTACCTAGCCTGTTACTGTTTTTATTATTGTTACTTTATAGAATTGTTTACTTTTATGTAACTTTTAGTCTTTTTTTTTTTTTTTTTTTTACGAGACAGGGTCTCATTCTGTCACTCAGGCTGGAGTGCAGTGGTGCAAAGATAGCTCACTGTAACTTCCAACTCCTGGGCTCAAGAGACCCTCTTGCCTCAGCCTCCTGAGTAGCCATGCCACCATGCCTGGCTAATTAAAAACATTTTTTTTGGTAGAGGCAGGGTCTTGCTATGTTGTCCAGGCTGGTCTCAAACTCCTGGTGTCAAGTGTTCCTCTTGCCTCAGCCACCCAAAAGGACAGGATTACAGGCATGAGTCACCACTCTTGGCCACTTTTAGTCTTATTTAATATTAATCTTTTTCTTTGTGGTTTCTGATTTTTATGTTATGCTTCTAAAGGCTTTTCACATGCCAAGATTATATGAATATTCACCAATATATACTACTATGATTTTTAAAACATTTAAATCTATATTTTATCTGAATGCATTTTTGAGTAAAAGTATCAGTTTTTCCCCCCCAACGGTTGGCCAGTTTATAGTTTTTCCCCAATGGATAACCACATAATTTAGAATAATCCCTCCTTTCTTTCAGTGAAATGAAACACACTTTTATCATGAACATAAGCCGCATTGTACTATTGTCTGTTTCAGGAATTTCCATCTCTGACGGCGGCCTCCCATCTTGCTACTCATGACACCAGACTCAACGCTTCTCTGCATTCCTTCTTAAAGAAAATCCATTACACAAAGCATTAATGGTCAATGTTTACTTTACCAAATATTATATTTGCTAGGAAAGACTGAGAAGTACCACATCAAAGTATTATACCAAAAAAAATCACATATCAAAGTACAAGGAAATCAACAAACGCCCGGTCTCATTTGAGCTGAGCTGCCGCCTGAGGGTTCCCATGTGCTCTATGCTTTCCTACATGGGTCTCAGTCCTGATGAGGTTTTCAAATATTTGTTTCACAGTTAAAGCTCGGTTCTCTAGCTCTAGACCCCCATTCATGGTTCATAGACCCTCTTGCCCAAAGGCCATAGTGGTCAAGAAATCTGAACATCTGAGAAGAGGAGACAAGTTGTCTATATTGCATCCTTGAGAGATTGCTGGGCTCTGGAATTAGACTGTGTCATGTTGGCTGGAATAACCGGACCTTCTGACTTATGACAGATCTTTTGCAGTAAGATCTTCTGGCCTATGACATGCTCTTCTTCCAGGCATGTCTGAAGAGACAAGGAACAACTGTTGCATTCGGATGCCGAATGTCATGACCACTCTAGAACAGATTTGAGACAGGTGTTGACCTATGTCATCCCCAAATGAGCAGTGAGCCCCTCTCTCCCTGGACCGCCATCACATCAAGTCTTTGCAAAATACTTCCTCATATGTTAACCTTATTTCCTCCTAACATTTCTGTAAGATAAGTTGTGGTTATCTCCAATTTATAGAAAAGATAAAATCAGAAGTTACACAGCTAAAACTTAGAACTGGTGGGGCTTGACCAGGAGTTTGACTGATTAGCCTGGAACAGAGTTGTTTAACTTTTCCCCATGAAACAGTTATCATTTCTTCCTCAGCCGTTCTACTCCCCTGTTTGCTTTCTCCTGTAACAAAGTCCTTAGTTCAGTATTTTCCAGGTCAAACTCTGGGCTCTCTGCCCTCCAGTCTCCACATTCTCCAAGCTTATTTTTCAATTAGGCTTTTTTACAGGACTAAGAGTGGGGCTGGAGTTTAGCTTGAAAAGAGACAAGGTCACGCTACTTGAAAGGAACGGGCATGTGCTCTGAGGTTTGCAGTGTAACTTGAACTTTTTGCAGTTTTTAGGTAGAGAAAGGGGTCAAACAGCCCTGCCAAGCCTGAAGAGTTGGCCAGTGGCCTTGTTTCTAAGAGAATTTTTCTGTTTTAGGGCTGCTGAAGAGTGAAGCTTTGGAGTGTGTTGGGTTAGTAGAGAGCTTGGTAGAAATGAGAATTATAGATTTCACAGAGATTTTTATATTCATTAGCAGGCAACAGTTTATGGTACTTTTTAATAATTTCTCAATTTTCATGTCAGTAATTCTTTTCAAATTCAGGATAAATGCAGTTATTTATGTTGTCTGGTATTTTTAATAATTAGATTTGCCAGAGATTTATCTCTTTAATTGGTTTTTGTTTTCCTAAGGAAACAGCTCTTGAATTGATTTATCTGTTCTATCCAATTTTATTTTTTAATTAGTTTCCGCTTTCATTTTTATTATTTTGATCTTCTTTAGGATGGATTTTGTTTAAATTCCTGTCACTGAATGTTAACACATTACTGTTATTTTTTTTTTTAGTCATAAAAGCATTATTAAATGCCAGCATTCCATTAGTTGTATTTTCTAAATAATTTGCAATCGTGTTTTAATTTGAGGATAAAAGGGAGAAGTCTTTTCTAGTTTCCAGTTGGTAGTTATTAGAAATCAGGATGAATTTTGATGACAGTTGTCAGTAATATTTATATCTGCAAATGCAGAAATACAGAAATCATCCTCATCCAGCCACCGGATACTTCTTCCTAGAAGCTTCTGCAGAGCTATATATAAGAAACTCTAATCGGTGGTCAGTAGCATGCATCTTTTAAAACAAAGGAGATGTTGGTAAAAAGGATACAAAATTTTGGTTAGACAAGATGAATACATTCTAGGGATCTACTGTATGGCATGGTGACTATAGGAGGCTAAGGCAGGAGGCCAGGAGAGAAAATATGGTGGGCCACAGGTGACAACAGTGGAGAAGGAGAGAATAGATCACATTTGAGAGATGTTATATAAGGTAGAACGGATAAGTCTTGGTGATTGATTGTGTGGGTGATTGATTGCGAACATGGCAGATTGTATTTCCAAAGATGGCGCCAACAATATCTCCCGTCCACATCAAGAGGTGGAGACTTTGATCACTTCCTTAACTCTGGGTGGGCTCTGAGACTATTCTGCCTATGGAAGAAATGACACTATATCAAATGTAGAGCCAACAGGCCTGGTATCTTCCACTTCCTGTCTCTTAGAACCTAGCCTCCACGTAAGAAATGTGACTCTTCTCAGAACAACATGCTTGGAGAAGCCGACGCCACTGGGAGAGACCCTACAGAATGAGATGCTGTGTGAAGAGAACGGGACCAAGGAGTTCTGAGGTGTCAGACAATGTGAGTGAAGAAGACGTCTTCACAGTGGACCCTACCCCCAGATGTCCTAGCTGATGCCACACCCTAGCCAAACCCTTCATGAGTTCATGACCCACAAAATCATGAGCAAAATAAACGATTGTTTTAAGGCACTATATTTGGGGGATAATTTGTTTGGCAAATAGATAACCAGAACAGTGAGGGAGGGAGAGAAGTGTGGAAGCAGTGCCAGGTTTCTGGGTTTGGTGGTGGTGCCTTTCTCAGACACAGAAGATAACTGAGAAGATGGTGAATATAGCTGAGTTTAATTCGTCTGTGAGAAACCCTTGTGGAGTTTCCAGTGGGTACATAAAGAATTGGTATAGCAGGCAGAGTGAGATAAGAACCAGACAGAATCCCAGGAACACCAGCATTTATGGAAGAAGGAAGGAAGAGCTTGTTAAGGTCACAAAGGAGAAGCCAGATGCCAGAAGAGTGTTGGAGACTCAGAACCAAGGGCAGAAAAGGGTCTCGAGAAAGAGAGAAAGGTGAACAATGTCACAGGCTAAAGGCAGCTCAAGTGCAAGAGTAGCAACTGCAAGAGCAGCTTTAGGCAAATGAGGGAGAAGCCAGACCAGCCCATCCCGCAGTGGGAGGAAGCGCAGGGTGTGAAGACTGGGGCTGCAGACAATATGTAAGATCAGTTTGACTGCAGGAGAGAAGGAAAAATAGGAACACAGTCTCTCTTTTTTTTATTATTATTGGCACACAATTATATTTATGGGGTACAGTGTGATATTTTGATACATGTATACAGTGTGTAACAATCATATCAGAGTAATTAACATATCCATCACGCCAAAGCTTTATCATTTCTTTGTGTTGGGACCATTCAAAACCCATTCTTCTAGCTATTTGAAGATTTACTGTATGGCTAGGTGTGATGGCTCATGTATGTAATCCTAGCATTCTAGGAGGCCAAGGTGGGAGAGCAACACCATATTTCTACGAAAAAAAAATTAGAAAACTTAGCCTGGCATGGTGGTACGCCCCTGTAGTCCTAGCTACTGGGGAGGTTGAGGCAGGAGGATTTCTTGAGCCCAGGACTTGGAGGTTGCCATGAGCTATGATGATTGATGATGTCATTGTACTTTTGCCAGGGTGACAGAGCGAGATCATGTCAAAAAAAAAAAAACAACAACAACAACAAAAAAGAAAGAAATAAAGAAAAAGAAAAAAGAAAGAAAAAGGAAAGATGAAAGAAAGAAAAAGAAAATTTACAATAAATTGTTGTTAATTACAGTCACCCTGTAGTGTAATAGAACATTAGAACTTCTTCCTCCTATGGGATACAGTGTATCTTAAAGAGGACGGAGGTTGATTGAATGATGCATTTTTTTCTTAAGATGAAGAGGACAAACTTTTCTTTTTCTTTTAAAAAACGATTATTTGTGGCAGTTTCTTCTGCTATCATTTGTCTTCTGGCTTCTTGCATTACTGTAAGAAGCACTAGCATCTCCAAGTCCTAAGCCTTTCTCAGGTGAGAATCATTTTGCCTGTGCTTGGCTTCCTCCTACAGGATTCCCACCTTTCTCCTACCTTGGAGGTCAGTTATCCCTCTTGTGATTCTACTATATTTCCATTTAAAAAAATATCACTCATATCTGAATCTACTATAATTTCCTTTGTCTTTGTTGGTTTATGCCTTTTGAAAAACATTCCTTTTACTGTCATTTTAGTGGGTTTAAAAATGAAGACAGATACATATATATGTTCAATCTGCTTTGTTTAACTGGAATCCCTTACCCATGGAATATTAATGATACCAATTATTTGCCCAGGAAAAGAAAAGATCATACATTTCCTAGAGCAAAAATCTCCTAGCCCACATCGTCTGACAGCAGTGGAAAAGGAGAAACGAAAATGGGGATATGAGACATGGTGGAGTTGGCCACGTAGGCTTAACAGGCCTCAGCTGAAAATAAGGCACAGTGGTTTGTGTGTGAACCAGGGGCTTCTTTTTCTCACAGTCATTTGGCACTGGCAGCTGCCAAATGGGAACTGTCAAATGTGGCAGACAGTTGGTGACAGTGAGAAAGCAGGCTTGAGCCAGGTGGCGTTTCCTTCACTGTCTTGTGTCAAGACAAGTGAACCGGGGACCTAGTCGTCCTAAGGCTGGGGCCACTCTGGCTGGCCACGAGATCTCCAGGGCTTGCTGAAACGCCTTAGGGAGTTTGAGGTCCAGAGCGAGGGGAGACAGGGAAGAGGCTGGTAGCCAGGAGGGGAGGAGATGGGTGATGGCATGGAGAGTTTGCCCCTCTGGTGGCCGAGGGATGAAACACCTGGCTAGAAACACCATCTCTTGAGCATCCTAAAGGTTAGCACAGGCCATTCTGGGCCCAGAACTGCTTGAAAGTTCCAGAGGGTTTCCTACCTTCTCTCCAGAAGGAAGAAGGGCTGACGCTAGGTTTTTGCGAGGGGCAGGGAGAGACCATTCTGAGCATGGCCTCTTTCATGTGCTGTATCAGTGAGAGCTTCTGCCTTGCCCTCAGTCAGGAAGGGACTTGAGATTCTGTAGCTAAGAGCTTCATCACTGCAAGGTAGAGAACTTCCCCTACCCCACCCAGCTTTGCATAATTCCTTCTGCAAAACTGAAATGGCAACAGAGTGCTCACAGATGTAGAGGTTCTAAGAGGGAAGGATGGTTGTTAAGCTGTGTCACCATTTCACCCCAGGAGATCACTTACAGAGAAACATCACCAAATTGTAGTCAAGTTCTCAACTCTTCCACCCGGCAAAGGGCTCGGCCCAATTATGATCTCATAATCATAAGGCATGGTACTGAGGGTGGCAACCTAGCACCTCTGTACTCCAGCATTCTATATGTCCTCCCCTGTGGCTCACTGAAAGGATGGCATTGTTAATAAGCCAACTATAATTTAAAAAAGGGAAAAATCATGCACACAGTGGCCCTTTGATTGTTTAACCACTGTGGATTAACTTGTTGTCTTTAAGAGTTTGTTTTAAAGGACTTGAAAAGTACTGAACAGACAGACAAAGGAGCATAACCCTCCTCCACATCTGCCAGACCACATTCCAAGAAGTCTGATACAGCCAGCCTAGCAGAGAAAACAAAGAAAGAAAGAAAGAAAGAAAGAAAAACAACCATTCCCTGTTACTATTCTATAATAAAAGCCCAAGCCACTCATCCTTGGGGCTAACACTTCTTTTTTCTTTCATGCCTTGTCCTTTCCTCTCTTGGAAAGTATTTAAAATAAAATAAACTTTTTGCTTTAAACCTATCCTAATCTTTGAGTTAAGAATTCTTTCTCAGCCCACGGTACAAGCTACCTTCCTAACAGTTAACAGACAACATTGAATCGTGCAAGGGGCTATGAGAGAGAGGTGAGAAGCAAGAGAGAACACACCAAGAAAGCTTAGGGAATGCGTTTTATTTCCTCAGCTCCCTCAGTCTCTGATAAAAACAAACCAAACAGGTTCTTATGATCTCAGACATGTGCAAATATCCTCAACATCATCAGTCAATAGGGAAATGCAAATCAAAACCACAAAGAGAGACCACATCATTCCCATTAGGATGGCTATAATTAAAAAGACAGACAATAACAGGTGTTGGTTAAGCTGTAGAGAAATTGCAACCCTCATCTATTGCTGGAAGGAATGTAAAATGGTGCAACTACTTTGGAACACAGCTTGGCAGTTTCTCAAAATGTTTAATGTAGAATTACCATACAGCTCAGTGTAGTAGGCAGGGTAATACCAAAGGTACCCATGTCCTGATTCCCAGGACCTGTGAATATGTTACTCTATATGACAGATGGAACTTTGCAGAGGTGAATAAACTAAGGATCTTGAGATGAGATTATCCAGGATCATCTGGATGGGCCTAATGTCATCGCAAGGGTCCTTAGGAGAGAAAGTGAGGGTGCACAAGGAGAGTCAGAGGAGGAGATGTGACAACAGAAGCAGAAGTTACAGTGATGCAGCCATGAGCCAGGGGATGTGGGCAGCTGGAAAAGGCAAGGAATGACTTTTGACCTCCAGAACTGTAAGACAATAAATTTGTTTTGTTTAAGCCACTAGATTTGTGATCATTTGTTAAAGCAGCAATAGGAAATTAATATACTCAGCAGTTCCGCTCCCAGGTACCTACCTGGGAGAAATAAAAGCATATGTCTACACAAAAACTTACATGTGAATGTTCAGAGCAGCATTATTTTTAATAATGCCAAAAAGAGGAAATAATCAAAATGTCCATCAACTGGTGAATGGTTTAAAAAAGAAGTGGTCTATTCATACAACGGAATATTACTTTTCAATAAAAAGAAAAGAAGTATTGAGACATACTGCAATGTGGATGAACCTTGAGGACATTATGCTTAGTGAAATTAGCCAGTTTCAAAAGCACAAATTCCACTTATATGAGGGACATAGAGTAGTCAAATTCACAGAGAATCTATTCTATACAATCGGTTCTATAGATTCTATAGAATTGGTCTCTCCCCCAGGGGCTGGGGGGAGAGGAGAATGGGGAGTTATTGTTCAATGGATATGGAATTCTAGTTTGATAAGATGAAAAGAGTTCTGAAGATGGATGGTGGTGGTTGCAGAACAATATGAATGTACTTAATGCCACTGAACTATATACACTTAAAACTGGTTAAGATGGTAAATTTTATGCAATGTGCACATCATTACAGTTAAAAAAATGAAATAGACTAGGCATAGTAGTGCATGCCTTAAATCCCAGAACTGTGGGAGGGAGAATTTCTTGAGGCCAGGAGGTCAAGATCAGCCTGGGCAACATAGTGAGACCCTATCTCTACAAACAATTTAAAAATTAGCTGGGCGTGGTGGTGCACACCTGTAGTCCTAGCTACTGAGGAGGCTGAGTTAGTAGATCCCTTGAGCCCAGGAGTTTCAGACTTCAGTGAGCTATGATTGTGCCACTGCACTCCAGCCTGTGGGACAAAGCAAGATCTTATCTCAAAAAAGAAAAAAATAAAATAAAAAGGGAAAAAAGAAATGAAGTACTGACACATGCTACAGCATGGGTGAGCCTCAAAAACATTATGCTCAGTGAAAGAAGCCAGACACAAAAGCACACAAATTATATGATTGTTTTTGTATGAGATGTCCAGAAAATGCAAATCTGTAGAGAAAGAAAGTAGATTAATACTTTAGGAGGAAGAGGCATGGCAGGAATGACTGTAAATGAGCACAACGTTTCTTTTTTGGGTGATGGAAATATTCTAAAATTAGATTGTGGTGATGGGTGCACACCTTTGTAAATATGTGAAAATCATTGATCTTAAATGGGTGAATTTTATGGTATGTAAATTATGCATCAACAAACTGTTAATCATAATTTTTAAATACAATCTCAGGCCAGGCGCAGTGGCTCACGTCCGTAATCCTAGCGCTCTGGGAGGCCGAGGCGGGCGGATTGCTCAAGGTCAGGAGTTCGAAACCAGCCTGAGCAAGAGCGAGACCCCGTCTCTACTATAAATAGAAATTAATTGGCCAACTAATATATGTAGAAAAAATTAGCCGGGCATGGTGGCGCATGCCTGTAGTCCCAGCTACTCGGGAGGCTGAGGCAGGACGATCGCTTGAGCCCAGGAGTTTGAGGTTGCTGTGAGCTAGGCTGACGCCACGGCACTCACTCTAGCCTGGGCAACAAAGTGAGACTCTGTCTCAAAAAAAAAAAAAAAAAAAAAAAAATATATATATATATATATATATATATCAGATATAATATTCTTCTGATCCTTAAAGGTTATGCATCCTTCCATCCTTCCATACTTTTTCGAGAGAAGTAAAGGACAGTATCTTGACCTTTGTCTCATAGAACCCACGTAGCTCTCTCTTGCACTCAGTAAGAATTCTAACCAATCTGGCACTAACCTTATCCTTAGAGACCTTGCTATGGAGAGAAATTTACTAATGTTTGTTGAATACCTCATATTTCAAGGAGAGAAAGGGGCAAGCAAAAACATAAAGCAATTTTGGGGTAGCGTGAGATGCCTGCTGCTGCATAGGCAAGATATGGTGACACCCACATTTTACTTAGAATGAAAAATTAAATGGAGATGATTGGGAACCAGTCTTCTTGTAAAAAAAAAAAAGTTTTGGTAAATAACAATAGTGGATTGTTCAAAGAACAAGAAAATCAGGATAACTTTTGTGTGTATGCATGTGAATGCTTACGTTGCTCAAAAAGAAAATGAACAATGCCTAGCCTCGGTTGAAACAATATATTTTTGATAGAGCTTGTCTTTGATGTGCATTGAATATCTTCTAGAGAGAGTGTAGAAATTGAGGGATTAATTATTGTTTTATAGCCTTTACACTTCAAAGGCGACCCTAGGCTTGAAAATCATAAATTCCAAGTTCAAGATGTAGAGAAAATTATTTGTGTAGCAAAGGAAGTAATGTCAGAAAGTTTCTGACATTTCCCAAGATTGGGTTTGAATAAGGTTGTTCTGCTTCATAAAGATTTGCTTGAGTAACACATTTGCTCTTATATTATTCTGAAAGAAATTTAAAAGAGACTCTTGATTTCCCAACAACTGACATTTTTTTTCATAGATTTTTCATGCCTTTCTATGGACAGAGAGAACTGTTTGTGCAACATGTATGTTGTATGTCAGTAGGTGGTGAATACACCCGTGAGAGCCGTGATTACCTGTGAACAGGAAGCATAGGTAGTCTGCTTGCTGATTTTAGTTACTGTGAAACCCCACAACCAAATGCTTAGTAGAAATGGAAGCCCCAGCCCTTCTCTCAAACTGCCCTGGCTGTTGCCACTAGGACCCCCTGTCCAACATGGAGCTGCTGGAAGTTGCACTTGGTACCCTGACCTGCCTGCTGCCACATGTAGGCCTGGGGTTAGTTCACCAAGCATGGGCTCCACTTTATGGGCCAGAGAAAAGCTCAGGGCAGGAAGCTGATTTCTGTAACAAGTCTTCTCAAAATGGGTATGGCTGTTGTTGGCAGCTGCCTCAGCTCTTCCTCTAGAATGGGTTTCTGAGGCACAGAAGGTGGATGGGGTCTAATATGTCATCACCTTTCATGTGTCCTCTTTTCTCTGACTGATGGCATCCATTCTTCATGAAAGATTTGGGGTTCCAACACCCCACCCTGAATGATAAATGCTGACAACATTGCAAAGTGTGGCTTCAGATGCAAGGTCAGAGAGGATGTTGGCGACGGACACCAAGGGTAAGGTGCGTTGGTGCCACACAGAACTTCTTGGGGGCTGGGACTGTCATGGCAGAGCCTTTCTCTCTGTGGCTGGTGGTGAAATCTCCCTATCATGCCCAGTGCCCTCACGGATGCATTAATTTCATTTTAGGTGGTGCAGGACCCTCTCTTAGTAGGCATGCTACTAGTTCACAGCCTCTTTTTTTTTTTTTTTTTTTTTGAGACAGAGTCTCGCTTTGTTGCCCAGGCTAGAGTGAGTGCCATGGCATCAGCCTAGCTCACAGCAACCTCAAACTCCTGGGCTCAAGCAATCCTCCTGCCTCCGCCTCCCGAGTAGCTGGGACTACAGGCATGCGCCACCATGCCCGGCTAATTTTTTCTATATATATGTTAGTTGGCCAATTAATTTCTTTCTATTTATAGTAGAGACGGAGTCTCGCTCTTGCTCAGGCTGGTTTCGAACTCCTGACCTCGAGCAATCCGCCTGCCTCGGCCTCCCAGAGTGCTAGGATTACAGGCGTAAGCCTCCATGCCCGGCCTAGTACAGGTTTCTTAAACCTTCTCACTCAGGCTTTCCCTGTCCTGACTTTGCTTTCAACATGTAGGGGCTTCTGTTCTCTAGCCTGGCTCTGAACAGTGACCAGACCCAAGTCTGGTCCTCCTGCAGGCATGGATGGCGCATGTGCGCCTCAGCTCCACACCGGCTCTCTCGTCCACCCTGAGACAGTTTCTTCATAACCAACCAACCCACCAACTCAACCTCTACTTCTCTGTTCTGCCATGAGAAAGTGAATTATTCTCCCTGAATACAGCTTCCTGTCTCTACTAGGATTAAATCCGAAGCACAGGAATAGCCAAGATGTTTCAGTAATTAATGTTCATACCTAACATTTATTGAGCTCTTACTATGTGTCAAGTGCTGTTCTCAGCACTCTATAAGGAGTGACTCATTTTACCCTGACAATACAGACACAACCGTATGTTACTAATTCAAAGTCACAAATTACTTTACATATTTTAACATCTCTGAAACCTGATACTTACTATAAGTAGGGCATTTTGTTTAATTGACTGCATTTTTTCCTTTCTCAATGGTACATATTAATAAAATAATACTGTATTTTATGTTGATAGTATCTTAGAAGAGACAAAATATGGTATTGGAAACAGTCTGAATCAGTGTGCTACCTTTGAGAACCCTAGTTTGGGAACCACTACATTTGAGAAGTTCTGATGTTTCATTGTGAAATTCTTTTGTATCTTAAGGCCTCAGTAAGAATAAACATTCACTCTAACATAATAGTCTATCCCTGCTTTGTTCTTCCCATGAGGAGCACTTTGGGGTTTTCCTTTGGTGAGAGGCAAAACTCTTTAGCAAACCTCATTTTGCTGTCAACAACTCCTGGGGGATTGGGCATTTAACTCTACTGATCATGCGACAGAAAAAAGGCAGGATCTACGAGAAGGGTTTGTTTACTAACGTCATAAGCCCTTCTTCTCAAAATCTTACTTTTAAAGGCTTTCTGCCATAAAATCTTAATGGTAATTATAAATTCAATCCCTCTTAATGCGATTGAGATGCAAATTAAAGATTGGGCTTCCTTTTAAAAATTCTTTCAGCTTGTGGACTGTGCTTGGTTGAGCATGACTTTGTACCTACCTGGGTTTGGGATTCATAGACGTTGGCTGTGTTTTCCCAGAACTCCTGTCATGGGGATAGTAGGGAGAGAGAGGTAGGCAGCAGCAGTCAAAAGGAAAGCCGTGAGTGCAGGCAGAATCCTGTTTCTGGTACCATTAATGGTGGGAGTAGCACCATGGAACTGAGGAGCACAGCGCTGAAATGGCCCCAGTTTTCTCCCTCATTTGAGCAAGAAGAATTTGTAATTGCTGAAGAATCAGTCACCCACATCCCAGGAAAAGGGTAGGGTGAGGCCAGGCCACAGAAAGACCCAGCAAGCCCGAGCTTTCATGTCAAACATGAGTGGGGATTGTCATGAATGGAGACTCCAGGGCTTCCCAGAATAACTGTCTGGCCTTGGCTTTTGAGACAGTATGTGTTTATCCCAGGCTCTCTGGAGCCAGCCAGAGAAAGGGAGTTAGGAGAAAGGACCTTTGGCTTCAGTGTGAGGACAGAGAGAACCAATACTTGAATCCTCCATGGAGGAGCTTGAAAAGTGAAGAGAGCCTAAATATCAAGTCTATGAAGTCAAGTGGAGAACTGGAACTAGATACGAGGCCAAGGGTCTGAAGGTGAGATCAGAGGCAAGATAGGAACAATCAGGTTTAGGAGGAATGTCTGAAGGTAATACAGCAGCAAGGAGCATTTTATAAGAGGATTGTACCAGGGCCCTAGATAGGAAGAGAGCTTTGAGCCTATTTTTTTTTTTTTTTTTTGAGACAGGGTCTCACCCTGTCTCCCCAGCCAGCGTACAGTGACATCATCATAGCTCACTGTAACCTCAAACTCCTGGGCTCAAGCAACCCTCCTACCTCAGCCTCCTGAGTAGCTAGGACTACAGGCATGTGCCACCATGCCCAGATAATTTTTTCTATTTTTGGTAGAGACAGGGTCTCATTCTTGCTCAGGCTGGTCTTGAACTCCTGAATTCAAGTGATCCTCCCGCCTTGGCCTCCCAGAGTGCTAGGTTTACAGGTGTGCCTGTAGGATTAGCCATCATGCCTGGATAAAAAAGACCTTTGAAGGTCACCAAACTGTCTCCTTTGCCATCCTTCCTTCCTATGTGTGACCATGATGACTGCCTACAGAGTAGTGGGCCCACACCAATTGTTTCTCTCCTCCTACAACTTAAGGAGGACTGAATAAGTGCTGCCTCTCCTCTTACCTCTTCATTCATTGCACCCTTTGCAGGAAACTGGTCACTCTGAGCTGTTTCAGTGGTTTCAACAGCTAGTGGTTCCCATCTCAATGGATTCCATTATATATGTTTCCTCTTTCTTCAGTATAATCCCTCCTCCTGGCATTCTCATGCTTTTACCTACAAAAAGAGGGAAGGCAACACCCTTTTCAAAGCTTTGGCATCCACTGCAAACACTGGATGCTTTGGAGTCAGTGTGACAGAGTAATTTATTAAGAGATTAATAGAAGTTTTGTTCTTCCTGCCACACGTATTTATTTTCCTCGCCCATCCTCCTCCTAAGAAAGCAGTCAAGTCTTTGGGCGTCCTTAACTTAAGCCTGGGTTTCTTTTGGTGTTGCAGAGCTGAAGGTGGAGGGTACAGCAGAAATTCTTGCCCAGAACTTTTGAAGCCTAAGTGCACAGGACAGCAGAGTTGAATCGCCAGAGATGAGAGATTTTTGAGCATGTCTGGGGGTATTTTCAGCTCTCTGGAGGGAGGAATGACCTCAGGGTGCTGTTCTGTGGCTTGCGTTGCTGTTAGAGGCATCCCCGAGCCTTCTGTGGGCAACAATAGCCAAGAGGCTAACAGTGGGGACCAGCATGCGACATTGTGAAGTCAAAGAATTAGGTTCCTGCATTGATTTGCCCCTTCCCTGGCTTTCTTGCAGCCTGCAATCCCAAGATTTGTGCAGGATCCTTCGTGTGTTTGTGTGATTGTGTGCTAGGGAGATGTCAAGACCATCTGAATTATAGACTGCGTTTGAACGTTCCACTCACCAAGTGGGTGCAGCCCCTGTGCAAATTGCTCTTATTTGTAGAAATAAATATACACGACATTTGTTACATCTCAGTACTGGGCAGTAAAACTCACATCAGTTATGCTGGTTTCCAAAAACTGCATACGTTCAGATGTTAGAAGGGGAAACTTTGTGGTCTAACCTGCAAAGGCCTACTAGAAGTTTCCCGCCAACCACCGCATCTGGCATTTTTGTCATTAGCATTGTTCCTGTACTTGAGGTATTTCCCTAGTAAGAGGACACCTGTAACACTCATTACGTGACTGGCACAGGAGCCCGCCAGGCACTGGGCCAAGAGCAGGCAGAACTGGGGAATTTTGCTCTTTGTGGTTTCTTCTCTGTGTTTGCTAAAACAGCTACACCGGGGGCCAGTTTTCCCATGTATTGTTTTCTCTTTGGCTTAACTGCCAATCAAAAGGCACATGGTGTGGTGGTTTATAGTCTCCTTCCTGGGGCCTCTGCCTCCCCTGCTGCCCCAGAATCTTCGGCCATCACGGAATCAGGGAACGTGGTCCCGAGCACTGTTGACACGCAGCAGCAAGAGGTGACGCAAGCACAGAAGGTCCCAGGAGTCGCACGGTCCGCGCTTGCCTCCTGGGCTCTCTCCTCCATATTAGGGGGACGGGGGACAGTTCTTTCCAAGTGTCTTCTTTATAATTCCTTGGATGGAATACTCCACTTTCAGAAAGTGGAATTGTGAGTTGCCTTCTGGAAACTTCCTTCCATTAGTCTTCTCTATATCCAGAAACTTGGGCCAAAAACCTCAGCGTCATTCCTGAGTCCTCCCTCTCTCTCCCCCTCCACTCTGGGCAAGGCCTATCTGCCAGGTCTATCTGCATGAGGCATCTCAAGCCGAATTGGACGGGTTTTACTTCTGTAAACAGAGAAAACAAACCTGCGTGTGCATGCCCGGGGGTAGCTTGCTGGCAGTTTCTCTGCTAAAGAAGCCTAACGCACATAGGAAGTGGAGGTTAAAGGTTTGACAGTGGGAACAAGGGTCTAGGTCTCAGGATTTGAAGAGAGGGTAGAAAAAGTGGAGTTTTCATATGTGCTGTATTTTCCACTCTCACTCTGCCACAAGAAAAAAAGCTTCTGAGAATCGGTGTGTACAGTCAGAGCGCGTCTGTACATCCTGGTTTTAGATCAAAAGGTTTGGCACAGTTAAATCAGACTTCACACAGGCCCATAAACTGGAGGGCAGAGTTCAGGCAGGTGGTATCGGTCTCAGGCCACCTGCGGTTTCCCTGGAGGCTGAGTGGTTTCGGTAAGTGCCAGGGGACAGGAGACTGATGGGTGATGGCTTGTTCCTTGAGTCTCTGTAGCTCAATGGCTGGTCTTTTTCAGAGCAGCGACCCTTCTAGTCAAAGCCCCTGACGGGATCTTTCCAGAGGATGAAGGTGTGAACAAGGGGAGATATGGAGCGACGGAAAGTTCATTACCTCCACCAGACCATGAGCCTCCTGGGGGCTGGGTCAGAGCCTGGCTCCTTTGAGGATCCAGTGCAAGGAGTTTTTATTTATTTATTTTTCCTGACCCTAAGGCTGGGGTAATTGTAGGGCATGAGCAGGTGTCCTGATATTGTCAGTGCCAGATGCCAGATTCTAATTGGGAACAACACATTCCCCACCAGCTGGGAGTTGGGAGGAGCAGACAGCTGGCTCAAGTTCTACCTAGAAGTTGGTTTCCCTTCCCTAGAGAGGGCTTACTAATGGTTAGGCCCAAAGGCCCAAAAGAAACCTTTGTATAGATCTCCTTCCTCCACCCTCAGCTTTATAAGAGGATGTGGCGATGGCAGTAAGGGTATGGGGCCTTGGAGTCTCATGTCCTGGGTTCGAATTCCAGCTCTACCATTCAGTGGCTGGGTAACCTGGGGCAAATGACCTAACATTTTGAAGCCTGTGTTTTCATCTGAAATAATAGTACATGGCTTGTAAGATTGCTATGAGCATTGAATGAGTTAATAGAGATAAAGTGTTTGGTAGGAAGCCTGGTTAAACAAAGGAGGCCGGGCACAGTGACCCACACCTATAGTCCCAGCTACTCGGCAGGCTGAGGTGGGAGGATGCCTTGAGCCCAGGAGTTGGAGGTTACAGTGAGCTATGATTGTGCCACTGAGCTTCAGCCATAAGGGCGTGACAGAGCATCCACTGTGTTGTGTCTGGGACGCCCCTGGATCCTGAGTAACAAATGAGGAGGAGAAGTCCCAAGGTGGTACAATGGTGCAGACGACGGGAAATGACTTTCCCTTTCATGGCTGACCCCAATTATGGCATCATCGTGTTGGCGGGACTGTGTCCCCAGGATGTGGCAGGAGGAGCAACATCCTTGAGACCCAAAGCTGCTCAGACTCTGCCTCCTCTCAGCCATCAGGGCCCCCCAAGTTTGCTGTGCAGCAGAAAAGGGGAAGCACAAATTTGCAGAAAAATCATTGTGAACGTCAACCTCTGCAAGTTGATAGAGGTTAGCTAGAATGAATTTCTGCCCAAAGAGAGACATGCTGCCCAAAGAAAGAGAAGTAGCAACTTGCTTTCCAGCATGTGAGGCCTGGACCTCTCATCTGGGTTGTGATGGAGCCCACAGGGGGTTCATGGCTCATTTTCGTGGGACAAATGGTCTGGGGGTGGTGGCGAGGCGAAGGTGACGGACACGCATCTGGGCTGACACTGCTGTGACTGCTGAGAAGGGAAGGAAAGCAGCTTCGTCTGTTTGGGCTTGGGAGACTGAGGCCTCCTGAACTGCACGCCTCAAGGAGAAAACAGGCGGGGAAAAACTGGAACCGAGAAGTGGAGGGGGAAGGCCACAGCGTGGTCGGTGATGCTGTTGGCTTTAAACCGCCAGAGCTAAGAACCAGCTGCATGTCGGAGGCGTCTGCATTTTGATAACCTCAGAGCGGCCACGTCTCCCAACTTGCCCATAAATGGGATAAGGGCCTTGCCTAAGGTCAATACCAAGTCTGCGGGACAGGCCTGTCACCAGTGGTATCTGCAGGTGGAAAACTCCAGCAGGTCTTTCTCCTGCTCAGACCCCTCTATGTATCAGGATGAAGAGCAAGTGGTGGCTTGCACAGCGGCTGGTCTTCTTCAGGGCAGGGACCCTTTTAGTCAATGCCCTGGAGGGATCTTTCCAGAGGAAAGACTCCACGGCATCCCTGTCCTCCCCCCCTCCTGCTCAGCCTCCATCACAAGCTGGCACCACTCGCTCTCCATCCTGGGGCCTGACTGTGGGGCAGAGGGGGATCTCCCCAGCCCCTTCCTCCATGAGGCCGGCATAGACTCTCTTGCCTTTAATGACTTTGGTGCTAGTCACTAAAGACAAGTAGGCAGGATCACAAAACCAACACATCCAGGGGAGTTACAAAACTGAGGCAGGTTTTACCACTTTGGCCCCTGATCCATTTTCCTTCATTCCTTCATTTATTCATCCATTCATTCATTTATCCATCCAATGAGTATTTATCGAGCATCTACTTTGTACCAGTGTCTTAGCGCTGGCGATACAGCAGTGAGCAAGACAGGCACAGACACAGTCTCTGCTTCCATGCAGTTCCTGACTCCCCTGAGACAATCACGGGAGCCTGTTGACTTGTACTCTCTAAAGTCCAGGTCCCGTGGGAGAGCCCCCTGGGAGCACTGTCTCTAAGAGCCTGCATTTTAGGCTAGCAGGGCTAGACGGTGTGAGTGGGTGACCTGGAGCAGCTAGACGCAGTGCAGCCAGGGGTGGGCGTGCTAGCCCTGGTCAGGGAGGGAAGCCAGAAGTCAGGGCCAAAGGGGCAGTGTCATATGGTAAGGAGTGAGCTTAGGGCTGCAGACAGGTGAGTCCAGGCCTTGGGGAGGGGTCAGCAGGCAGAGTTCAAGGGAGAGGTGACTAGAAGTGGGTCAGGATAGAGAAAGGAAAGCATTTGGGGAGTTCCATCTTGCTGGGAACAGGTTGAGTGGCAGGACATCAGAGGAAAAAGTGTGGGTTGAGTACTTTCTGCGTCTATGTCAGCCACTGAGTTAAGCACTTTACATACATGGTCTCACATTAAATGAATGGCAAAGGATTAAGCACAGAAAGGAATTCTGTTTTTTGGGTTTTTTTCTGAGATGGAGTCTCTCTCCATCACCTGAGCTAGAGTGCTGTGGTGTCAGCCTAGCTCACAGCAACCTCAAATTCCTGGGCTCAAGCAATCCTCCTGCCTCACCCTCCCGAGTAGCTGGGACTCCAGGCATGTGCCACCGTGCCCGGCTAACTTTTTTCTATCTTTAGGAGAGATGGGGTCTCACTCTTGCTCAGGCTGGTCTTGAACTCTTGACCTCAAGTGATCCTCCCACCTCAGCCTCCCAGAGTGCTAGGATTACAAACCTGAGCCCCTGTGCCCAGCCTCATAGAAAGGAATTCACTAAACCTCTCCTTTCTAGACCCCAGACAAAAGTTAAGACAAAGTGAGTCCCCCACTCCCACTTCTCACCCCCACTCCACTTCAAGCTCTTCTTAGCATCTATATGCTACAGCGCATATAAAGATGAAATAAAGGCAGATTGATAGTCCCTTCACCCCAGGTGGACAATTTGCATCTCTAAGCAACTCACCTCTTTACCAAGCCTTTGTACATTCCCCAGTGCTCCTCTTTGAGGGTCATCTTTCAAACGGACACAGATTTTAGTGCCCGAGGGCCAGGCAGATAGTGTAAGTGAGTGTGGGTGAAGAATCTTTGAAGCAAGAGAAAACTCATGGGCACCGTGGCTGGCAGGAGGGCACTTGTCCTTCCAAACATGAAACTCACTTGTTAGATCTTCTGATTTTTTTCCTAGAGAAGTCAGAAATCCAGATTATAATATGAAACTTCTAAGCCTTTTAATGTTGACAATAAATATAAAAAATTAAAGCAAACAAGCAATACCTGTCTGGGACTTCAATTATGCAAATCAAGTGAAACACGTCCAGGGACTGCCTGCTTGCCTTGCAACATCTCAGCGATTTCAAAACTGAATTCAGGGTCCCTGGAACTCCTCTCTGAGACACATTCAGTCCTTCCACTGAGATAGTGACACCCTTAGGCATTGCGTGAACACCACTTTTTATCAAAACTCTGAAGCAGCATCTTAGACTTAGGAAGAAGTGGAATGAGAGGGTTGAGAAAAGAAAGGGAAGGGGAAGGGAAGGGAGAAGATGAAAGATCATGGGGAAGGAAGATACTATATTCCATGCTGGAAAATGCTACAGATATCTTATCTCATTTAATCCTCACAGCTCTGGGGGGTAGGCACTTTTTCTGTTTTATAGAAGAGAAACCTGGCCAGGCGTGGTGGGAGCACTCTTAGCACTCTGGGAGGCCGAGGCAGGAGGATCGCTTGAGGTCAGGAGTTTGAGACCAGCCTGAGCAAGAGTGAGATCTCGTACCTACTAAAAATAGAAAAAGTAGCTGGGCTTGGTGGCATGCACCTATAATCCCAGCTACTCGGGAGACTGAGGCAGGAGGATCACTTGAGCCCAGGAGTTGGAGGTTGCTGTGAGCTGACACCACTGCATTCTGACCCAGGTGACAGAGCGATACTCTGTCTCAAGAAAAAAAAAGAACCTATGTAAGTTACTGAGAGCCTGTGTTCTTTCCAGTGTAACCTGTGGAGGGACATCCGGGTCCGCGGCCTCAGGGGAGCTGACACACAGCCAAGCCAAGCTCTTCCTCTGTGCCCCAGCGTCCTGTGAAGCTGCAGCCCTAACGTGGCAGTCAGCCCCAGCAGCTGGGCTGAAGGGATGGGAAGTGGCGCTCTGCTCAGCACTGTTCTTGGAAGACTGAGAAGATACAGGAGCGACTGAGGACCCAATTTCTCCTTGCAAAGAGCATCTAAGAAGGGATACTCAGGGACACTGAGTTGAGGATGTCACATGTCTAAAGCAACTTGTACCAAGAGCAAGGTGAGGTGGTCCAGACTTGCCTTCCACTGAGAGTCGGAGGGAGGTCACTCACAGATTTGAGGGAGGCCTTGTGAGTAGGGCTGCAGGGCTGCTTCTCCGGGACAGAGATCTAGGGGAAGGAGTCATGAGCCAGAAATGCTCATTTAGTTCCATTCAAAACCACACATCTGCAATACCATTCAGTAATAAAAAGGAACAAAATACTGAGCATGCTGTAGCATGGATGAACCTCAAAACATTATGCTAAGTGAAAGAAACCAGATACAAAAGACCATCCATTGAATGATTCCATTGATATAAAATGTCCAGAATAAGTCAATCCATAGAGACAGAAACTAGATGAGTGACGGCCTGGTGTTCGGGGTACAAGTGGGGATTGACTGTAAACGGGTATGAAAGATCTTAATGGAATGATGCAAATGTTTTAAAACTGGATTATGAGGTTGGCTGCAAAACTTGATAAATTTACCGAAATTCATTCAACTGTACACATAAAACAAGTGAATGTTATGGCATCTAAACTTGTTTAAACACATACAGGCACACACCCCTCTCGGGGCTTAGGGAAGCACATTTTATACAAAGTCCAACTGGAAATTAGGTCAAGCACAGATAGGATCTATTTTCTGGAGCTGCTACTTTCTTGTGAAACCTGATAGACAGTTGAACAGTTCAGAGCTTTAAAGACGCACAAGTGGGTTGTGGTAAAGAAGCTGGAAGGCAGATGGTGAGTTTGGGTCCACTCCACGTGGCTCCAGACAGGAAGGAAGTGGACCCAGCCTCAGGCTGACTGGCAAGAACAGCCCCGTCCACAAAGGCATCCTAGCAGAGCCCTCCCTGGGTGCCAGGCCCACTAAGTGCTCTGAAAAATTAAAACAGTAATAGAATAGAGAGCAATAGAACTGTTCAAGGGTGGGGGCATAGGGAATGGTGATTTTTGGAGAGTGAAGTCAGAGAACAATAGGCTTTTCTGAGAAGATAACATTAGAGCAGAAACCTAAACAATGAGAAGGAGCCAACTGCGCACAGATCTGGAAGGAATATTCCAGGCAGACAGAATAGCAAATATGAAACCTCCAAAATGAGAATGAGTTTGGGCAGAGCTGAGACGACCGGGGTCAGGTAAATGAAGTGCTCGTTTTCAAGGTCAAGCAAGTACAAGATCAAGTTGATATTTTGTTCATCATGGACCATTTTTGCATTCATTTTGAGTTTTAAAAATGTTATTTGTCATGGTTACTGAGATTTTTGGCACCTCTTAAATTTTACACACAAGGGGATGCCTCACTTACCTCCTCCCAGTGCTGGCCTTGCTGAAAGCAGGTGCGAGACAATGTTGAAGCCGTACAAAGCTGGGACACTTTCCATACAGGTTGAGATGGGCTGGAGGGCAAGGCCTATGACTCTGTGATTCCAAGATTTGAGTGTGAGGTCAGAGTTGCTGTAAAAAATAATCTAATTATAAGTATCCCTCAGTATTACTTTAAAAAATTTTTTTTAAGAGAAATCAAGAGTCCAGGCCAGGTGCAGTGGCCTATGCCTGTAGTCCAAGCACTTTGGAAGGCCTAGACAGAGGGATTGCTTAAGCCCAGGAGTTTGAGACCAGCCTGAGCAACATAGTGAAACCCTGTTTCTACAAAAAAAAAAAATAATAATAATAAAAAAGAATATTAGCTGGGCATGGTGCATGTACCAGTAGTCCCAGCTGCTCAGGAGGCTGAGGCAGGAGGATTGCTTGGGCCCAGGCACTAGAAGTAGAAGTGAGCTATGATGATGCCAGTGTCCCCTAGCCCTGGCAAAAGAGTGAGACCTTGTTTTAAGAAAAATAAAATAAAATAAAAAAGAAAAGACAGATCAAGAGTCTAGAAGATTTGTCATGGCACAAACTCCCCTGGGATTCCAAGTCCACCAGCTTCCCCTTCACCCCTTCCTCAGAGGTCACGAGTGTTAAGAGCTCACACCAGAGTCTCCTCCAAATTGGCCCAAGTAGAGGAAGAACTCTGGGGCCCTGCGCTGTGAGGTCTTTTCCAGCCAGTCCCTGCCAGGCCCAGACCTGTGCTAATGTCACCACCTTCCTCCAGCCCCCAGCTGACCTCCCTATTCTTCACAGTTCTTTTCAGAATAAGACAACGTGTGCAAACTGCAAAGCTCTAACAAAGTCTCATCTGCTGGCTCTTGCAGAGCTCTGGGCCCCTCTGATACCATCGGAAAAAAAACACTTCTACTCCCTGTCCTGTCACCTCCATTTCCCTGGGAGGAACAGCCCGGGGTGCTCACAAAAGTTTGGTTTCCAGAGGTAGCTTTGCCATATCAGGTTTATAGAGTCGTCTGTTGGAAATCTAGACCACATTTGGGTTTGCCATTTGCAGCTTGCCTCATTTCTTTTTTTTTTTTCTTTTCTTTTCTCTTTTTTTAATTAAATTGAGAAAATTTCAGCCTCACTTATTTTTCCCTTCAGAGGGATTGGAGAGAAGGAGCTTTCTCCCCTCCTAATTTGCAGGAACTTCAGGCCTCCTGGCAGCCTTCCTGCAAATGCACTCCCATTGACTTGCTGGGATAGCTCACCCTCTTTTCCTCCCTCCCTTCCTTTTCTCTCTCTCTTATTCAGCAGATACATTTTTTGAGAACTGTGTGCATGTCACTGTGCGTGCCACTGTACTGAGGACACAGGGTGCATGAGACAGATGCTGCCCCTCTCGGTAGGGGCCAGCAGACACATGGAGCAGTTACAACATGCAGCTGCTATGATGGGGGAGAGCTGGGGCATTGTAAGTGTGCACAGGTGTGAGGGAAGAAAATCTAGAGCCTCCTGCCCTTTCAAAATACAGGAATGATGTCTAGAGAAGGAGAGGGTAGGGCCCTCAGTCACACAGTCCAGGAGCTCTGGTCTTCTCCTTTCTACTCCTTTTTCTTCCTAAGAAAGACCTCACTTTGGGGCCCAGAAGATCCCTAACCTGGAGAGGACTCCAGGCGTGGCATAAAAGCAGAGGGAGGAGCTGGGAAGTGCTCAGCAGGTGGCAGTCTGACAAAGTACACATGGCTGATGCCAAAGGCCAGGGCAGCTTCTGCCCTTCCCACACGCTGGCCGCTGGCCGGGGCCGGCCTGGATTTACTCTCACTGCACTTGCCCTGGATGTCCAGTCTGCAGGAGAGAGAGTCCTCCACCTGGCTGGGACCTTAATGAGACTTCATATATTTTCTTTTCATGCTACCTGCACCAACTCTACTTTTATGTGTCATACTTAGTCTGCACAGTGTGTGGTTTCCTAGCAGTTACTTGAATTTCACTTGGAGACCAGAGGTCTGTGACGGACACTGTGAGCAAGGAGATTGTCCATGTTGAGCAGACTTCCTAAAACTCCTCAATCAAACTGTTCCCATTTGTAACTTGCCCTTGCACTCCAAGGAGAGCTTCCGTACATACTTAGAAAGACCTGAGATGCTCTGGACATTCCTACCTCAATAACTTATATTTCTGTTGTCCTATTACAGAATTGCACCGGACAGGCTTTGTGAACACATAAATGAATGAATCTAGCAGTTGATCCACCCCTGCTCAACCTCACCTTTACTAGTCTAATCTTAAGCAGCTCCCTGACCCCCAAAAAATTAATAGGGGTTTTAGCATAAGCCCAGGAAGCTAGGTCAAGAAGAAGGCACCAACTAAGAAAAGATAAAGGTTTTCTTCTCCCAGAAGATGAACATAGTTTCTAAGGTTGGGAAAGATGCCAAAAATTGTACTTTTCCAGAGGCAAGATTACTTAACGTTTCCCAGAACATTTCTGACCTAGAATGATCTTTTTCCTTCCTTAAATTGCTGAGTCTTAGGTGAAAGTTGAAAGCAGGGGGCTGGCTGCTTAGAAACCAAGAAGAAGATCTGAAAATACAGGCAAAACTTTTTGCCTTAGAAAGATTTTTGGTTTTCTTGTGATCTCAGACCACATAGGGTGGCTCGGTGACTTTTTGGCATGGCTCTTAACTAAGTCTTACATTTCTAGTGGTACACAAGTCCAGCAGGTGAACAGGATTTTTTGCTGGGTTTTAGGGACCAGCGAAACAGACATACAGGTTGGACAATTGAATTCTTAGTTGTACAGTACAGATCTTTTCTTCCTCTCATCAGAGAAATGTAAAAATTCCACTCTCTTATGACAGCTCAAGCAATTAACATTCCTTAGGGAAAAATCTAAATGCAAAGTGTACCTGCCAACTAGGGTCCCCTAAGGGGAGGAATGTGGGAGTATTGAACTTCTTAATAAACAACTTGTGTGACTGGTTTTATTCCTGGCAAATCGACATTTAGCATATCATTTTGGTAAAAATATTAATGATACCCCATAAAACAGTGGTTATTAATCCTGACCTCACATTAGAATCATCTAGGGGGCTTTGAAAAGTGCTGATGTCAGAGCCCCACTCCACAGATTATGACATAATTGCTCAATGGCCCAAGCATCAGTAGTTTTAAAGCTCCCAGGTGAGTCAACTGTGCAGCCAGGCACGTAGAATTAACTCTTATGCCAGGCATATTTAAAGCACTTTACACACATTAATCATTTAATCTTCACCACAATCCTCTGAAGAAGCTATTGCGATTAGCCACAGGTTACAGATAAAGAACTTAATCACTTCTAATTTGCTCTGCTTAAAAGTGGATCATTGGAAGAACTGGTAGAGGCTTTGAAATTTCGAATGTCCCTTCTCTCTCTCCCCCATCCCCATTTCTAGGAAGTGGGTTTAGCAATATGGAGATTCATTTCCCCAAAGATATGGAGGATGCCAGTCCTCTGAAATACAAACACAGAGATAGTCAGTGACATTGTAGATAGCTACAGGGTGTCATCTTCAGTCACCTTGCTCACCAGATTGAGTGTAGAGTCCCCAGTCTATAATTTGTAGAAATAAAGGATCTTCCCCACATTTTTACAACTGTCTAGAGAACTTACCTTCTCATGGTTGCCTTTGCTCTAAGATTGTGTTTCTGCTGAGTAAGTTTAGATCATGGACCATCCCCCGTCAACACATGGACCTAGACACAGAACACAGCTACCATCCCCCATTCTCCCCAACTGCCTCCCCTCCCCACCACCTTCATTGGAGGAGAGGATACTGCAGACTTGGAGAGGTGGAGGAGTTTATGTCAGTACAATGCGAGTGGTAACAACCCAGCTTTAAATATTAGATTCCTCTTAAAAGCCCTTTTAGCTCTGTCATCATTGGGAATCTTACTGTGTCATTGGCCTCTACCTTTCTTCTCTTTCTGTCTCATTTCTGTTTTCTCCTCTTAGGAGTCTAAAATAATTTCTTTTGTTCTCATAAAGCAATTGAAGTCCTAAACTCTTCACACTTCACACCTGGGCTTTGCAACTTGAGAACCAACATTCTGTGTCTAAATGAACTACGAAAATATTTTTTTTTAAATAAAGAGTGATCCCTCCCGAAGATAAATGTTGGGGCCACCTGTTGAGGTACAACTTGATATGTACATAAGACGTTCCCACCTCTCTTACACAAAATAAAGATCTGATAGGTTCAGATGAATTTATAACTCAGCATGGGTTCCTTGGTCCTGCGAGGCAGACTTACCCTTGGTCAAGAGAGATAGACTCTAGGCGGTCTTCTTGTTTGGGGCATTATCCATTATGCTTTGATTGTGCTGGCGTTAGGACTAGGCCTTGTGCATGGAGGCTGAGTAGAAGGAGAGGGAAGTGGGTGCTTTTATATGACTTTTAAAACTTTTGATTTACCGGTAGTATAAAAATAAATTTACATATATATTATATATGATAATATAAATTAGTATGTTTGTGCATATACATTACTGTTCTGAAAATAGATATAACCAGAAGAGCTATATCTAGGAGATTGAAAGAAAAGCCTATAAAAGTTCTGCATCTATACACTATTCATTATATTATAAATGCCTCATATATAAACACTATTCAAGTATATTATATAGGTGGGAAAATTTGGATAATGTAACAAATGACATTGGAAAAGTTGGCTAGCCGTTTGGAAAAAAATTGGAATCATTTACACTTACCAGAAGAATATGTAGATGAACACAGTCATGTGCTGCATAGGAATGTTTTGGTCAATGAAGGGACAGTGTCCCATATGATGGTAACGGAGCTGAGAAATTCCTATTGCCTCGCCTAGTGAGGCTGTAGCCATCGCAACATCACAGGGCAATGCATTCATTACCTTTTCTATGTTTAGATACACAAATACTTAACCATTGTATTACCATTGCCTGTGGCCTTGGGGCCACGTGTGGCCTTCTGGATCCTTGAGTGCCACCTTTGGACCGAATCCAAATTTTACAGAACAAATCCTTTTAATAAAGTTTGGATTTTGTTGGGGGGCCGCACTCGGGCACCTGGAGGGCCACAGGTGTCCTTGAGGCTACAGGTTTCCCACAGCCTAGGTGTGTAGTAGGCTATACCATCTAGGTTTATGTAAGTACACTCTATGGTGTTTGCACAATGACAAAATTGTCTAATGATGAAATTCTAAAATACATCCTGTTCTTAAGTGATGCATGGCTGTTTTATATACTCTTAAAGTAGGATAATCTCTTCTAATCATGACATTAAAGACAGTAAAATAGTATAGATTTGACTGCTATAGCAAAGCAATACACATGGGGCCTTAAGGAGCCTGCAAAGGGAATGGGCCTCACCTGGTAAGGAGAATGATCTAGAAGCTGAGGTCATGCTGACAGCATAGACAGGGTAAAGTCCCAGAGGACAGGACAGAGACAAAATTCACAAACACCAACTGCTTAAGACCCCTGTGTATACACACACACACAAAGTCTCAACACAGACAGGACATCACTGTTCTTTTTTTTTTTGCGACACAGTCTCACTTTGTTGCCCAGGCTAGAGTGAGTGCTGTGGCGTCAGCCTAGCTCACAGCAACCTCAAACTCCTGGCCTCAAGCAATCCTTCTGCCTCAACCTCCCAAGTAGCTGGGACTACAGGCATGCGCCACCATGCCCGGCTAATTTTTTCTATATATATTTGTTGGCCAACTAATTTCTTTCTATTTACAGTAGAGACGGGGTCTCGCTCTTGCTCAGGCTGGTTTCGAACTCCTGACCTCGACCAATCCACCCGCCTAGACCTCCCAGAGTGCTAGGATTACAGGCGTGAGCCACCGCGCTCGGCCTGTCAATGTTCATTTTTAACTCCTGGGGGCAGAACGGAAAAAGAACCCATTGACAGGAGGAGGGAGTCATGGGGGAGAAAGGATCTGCACGACTGAAGGTCAGATAGAAGAAGTGTAGAGAACATTCCTGAAAGCAGCAGGGACTTTCGGATAACACACTAACACACGCCTTGCACTTACACAGAAAAGAAAGAGCATGTGGCCTTTGCGGCAAAAAAGATAAAAAGATGTAGTAATAAATCAACTGAATAAGATTAAACAGGGACGCTGGAAGAGCTAAGAAAAGAAAGCAAGGACAAAACATCAGTTTAGAACTAACTCATATAACAGAAATAGCAAACAGCATAATTCATGCAGTAGCCAACTGATGTGTGATACGAAAAGCAAACTTAAAACAATCACATAAACTTCAGACGAAAAGACAGAAATAAAGCAAGTGAAAGGAGGAGGAGGGGCTGTGAGGAGCCAGCATGCCCTGTGGACGATACTGTGGGTGTTGACACAGATATCGTGTGTGTGCTGGGCTGAACCATCAGTCCACGCCCCGCGACCCAACGCGTCTGTTGATGTCCTAATCCCCAGCGTGGATGTGACTGTATTGGGAGACCGAGCTTTACAGAGGTAATTAAGGTTAAATGACGTCATTAGAGCAGACCCTAACCCAACACAACGGGTGTCCTTATAAGAACAGATTAGAACCCCCACCACCCCCACCCCCTGACTGGCCCAGAGGGAAGACCACATGAACACAGGGAGGGGAGGGCCATCTAGAAGCCAAAGACGGAGGCCCCAGAAGAAACCGACCCTCTCAACACCTTCACCTTGGACTCCAAGCCTTCAGAACTGTTTAATTCCCAACAGAAAATAAGTCCTGTTGTTTAAGTCACCTAGTCCGGGTTACTTTGTCATGGCCGCCCTAGCAAACAGTGTGTATATGCAATAAAATAAAACTGGAAGAAAACCTATCAAACTCTTGCCGAGGTTACTTCTGAAGGGGTGACTATATAAGGGACTTTTAACGTCTACATTATACATTTCTGTTTGAACATACTACTCTAAACATAATTTCTTTCTTTCTTTTTTTATTTTTTTTCGCAACAGAGTCTTGCTCTGTCACCCAGGCTAGAGTACAGTGGTGCAATCATAGCTCACTGCAACCTCAAATTCCTGTTTCAAGTGATCCTCCTGCCTCAGCCTCCTGAGTAGCTGGGACTACAGGTGCATGCCACCATACCTGGCTAATTCGTGTTTTGATTTTAGTATATATTATATATATATATATATTTTTTTTTTTAGTTAAGATGGTGGTCTAACTCTCGCTCAGGCTGGTCTCGAACTCCTGAGCTCAAGTGATTCTCTTGCCTTGGCCTCCCAGAGTGCTAGGATTGCAGGCGTGAGCCACCATACCAGGCCACATAATTTCTTTCTTAATGCATATAAGGATGTTTTAAAAATTGGGTGGGATAAAAAAAAAGAAAGTTAAAATGCACAGTAACCAACACATCTCTTTGTGTGGCCACAAATTTGCCTCTGAGCTATCAATAATGCAGCTTACACAAGCACACCTTGTTGATTACACAGTTCATAGTGTCCATGAGATAACGGCCTGGATTACTAGTTAAAAGATATCCACCTAGTGTTAATAGTGGTATCAGATAAGAACTCTCCACGTGCCCTCACAAAGGTGACATTGCAAACATTTTTCTAATTCAAATTATGGCTGGTTCCATAATGGCTGTTTTTATATCAGCTCTCAGCCTCACAGGAAATGCAAAGCAAAGACAGTTACATGGGACTAGGATCAAACCGTACTCTCCAAGTTGTCACCCATCTCACTGGTTTACATACTGTCTGTTCTCTTTGGACATTTAAATTTGTAACTGCAGTCTAAACAGACAGAGCATGGATAGAAGACAAGCTTATGGAACTGAGGCCTCTTCCCTTTCCCTTCCTTAATTTTTCTTTGAGCAAAACCAGAGGAGCGGACCTATGATCAGCTCTGGAAAAATCCAATATCTACTCAATAGTTTGGTCTGGGGGTAAGACTTGGAGGCAGGAGGTGTTTATTGCAGAGGGCAGAAAAAAGAACATGGATATTTCTTACTAATATATATTGAGCTCTTATTATATGTGAGTCATTATGTTAAGTGCTTTTCATTTATTATTTTATCTAATTTGGAAAACAACTCTATGAGGTAAATTCTATTATGTCTCCATATTTATAAAAGGGGAAGCTCAGTCTGAAAGTGGTTAAGGAAATTGGTCAAACCTCTTGCTGATAGAGGTGGAGCGGGGATTTGAACTCGTGAAGTCTGGCTCTAAGGCTGATGTGCTCTTGACTACTACATCTTGTGTAAGAAGGCCTTGCATCAAGTTGGTGCAGCTACTTGCTAGACGAATGACTTTTGGGAAATCCCTCCCATCTCTGGGCCTCATCTACTTTTCCTCCTTAGTAGAAAGAGGGTAGTCACCCAGGTAGTCTCCCAGGGCCATCTGGCTCAGACACGCCAGGCTTGGCCCCACCATCATTTTGGCAAATGGTCCAGGTGGAGGACTCCACCAACAGATGGGGACGTGGCTCTAGTATAAGATTTGGCTTAACTTTGAGAAGGCAACTATCTCTGGAGGATAGAAGTTGTTGTCTCCAGGAAAGATGAGCTACCTTCTCTGCAGGATCTGCCCAGGGGTACGACTCACTCATAGCCAGGCTGTATTGCAAGACCTTGGGGAGCCTTCGGGACCCTCCCCACCTCCCCTTCCCTCCCCAGCCTCACTCCTGCTTCTACTCTGGGCTCCACTGCCATCTTCTTAGCTCTGTCTTGCCCCTCAGTGGTGACAGCTGATGCCAACAGATCAACAGCTGCATTTCTAAACCAGTCAGAGCTGTCCCAAGCCCACCTGCAACACCAGGTGCGGGGACCAGTGAATGTGTGAGAACCTCTCTCTATTTAAGGACCATTCTCCAATGCTATTTCTCATCCAAGACTTGACTCCATAAAGAAGATAACTCACTGCACACTTCACAGCTTTTCACAACCTCGTTCATTCCATTGAGCCATCTCTCTCTAGAAGCCACATTCTACACGGTGCTCTGGGGCAGGCCTTCCATGAACAGAGGGCTTGTGGTTGGTTTTCCCACTTCAGCATCACTCCTGCTTGAAACATCTCTCCAATGCACACCAGACTCTACCCGGAAAAAGTAACAGAATTAAGAGGACTGTGGTTGTCTTCCCTGTGTCCAGAGATCTGTGTACAGCATTCCAAGACAGAAGTTCCAGAGGGGAGGCAAGAATAGTGGAGCACGTTCATTTCATGCCCATGCTGGGGATAGTGGCATGGGGCTGAGGCACCATAGAAGGTAACGGAGCAAGGTGGCTGAACTTCCCCCGCCTAGGGTGTAAAGACCCTCAGAGGCCACCTTGATGGACATCCTCAGTGTTCAGATGGGAAACTGAGGCCCTGAGAACAAAATAGATCTGTGAATCAGTGACAGGGAACCCACTACAATGTGGGCTCTCTGATGTCATTTCAAGGCCATTTCCAATGCAGCCTCTTTGCACTTGAGAACTACCTCCTCCTGCTCAACTCTCTCACTGCACAGCTTACAACAGGCCTGTGCCTGGTGGATCTGAGTGACATCTTTATTTTGAGCCTTGATTTTCTCTTGGGTGTGCACAGGCAGGGCCTCTTAGAATCGATGTAGCATTCTCTTCACTTGCCCCTATAGATTTGGAAGTTTTGTTAAAAAGGTATTTTTTTAGAGAGGGAAGTCAGATGTTAGATGACAACCCACACAACTTAGTTAAATAATTAAATATCAACTTTCTTTCTTTCTTAAATTTAGGGGTTAGTCATACATTTTAAAAATATGTGACTTCACTCCTTGCTCACCAGACTTCTAAGACTCCCAGTGGCTACAGCTGAAAGGCAAGTCTTGTTTGCTGACTTTGCAACCCTTCAGGGTCTGGCCCCACTTAACATTTCTAGTCTTATCTCCCACTAGGCCCTCCCCACCTCCACACACACACACCAGGCCATGCTTGGTCCAAACTGAACTTCAGTCTCCTCCGTGGATAGAGCAGCCTTATCACCCCTCCGAGCTTTTCACTCACATGACAGCCTCCTCTGCCTGCAATGCCACCCACCCCCATCTTCATATCTTTAAGTTGTTCATACTTCTCAAGGTCTGGCTTAACAGTCCCTCCTCCTTGGAGGCCTCTCTTCAAATTGGGAGTGAACTCTTGCCCATTTCGGAGCACCCATTGCCTCTTATCAGTCCTTTTCTTAGAGCACGTAGCACTTCTTATCTTGTAATGTAATTATCTAGTCATCTCTCCGGACTGGACTGTGAACTCCAAGGCAAGATTCCTGTCACATGAGGCATCGTTGATTTCTCCACAGCACCTAGAACATGTTAATGTGTATCGAACAGACAGTACCTGAGTTCCAAGCATGAGTAACTGACTGAGTGGGCACAGTTCCTGAGACTCTGAGGCCTGAAACTTGAGACTGGAACACAGAGATGGAAGAGAACAGAGGACAGGGGACATTTATGGTGGGTGGAAATCAATTACCCTAGGCTAAAGACAGGAGTGTGAGGTTGCAGTGAGCTATGATAACAATTTGCAAGAGAAAGAAATCATGGCTTGAGGTACTAATGGGGTAATTTCCTCAGGGGTATTAGGAAGTAAAAATGTACTTTTTCTGTGATAGGGACAGTTTTTTCCTCTGAAAGGAATAATACTCATTTTGAGCTAGAGAACGTGGTGGGTCTTGGGCTTGGGATGAAGTGGGACTTGTGCTCTCAGGAGCTAGGACACTGAGATGATGGGAAAAGAGAGCCCCAGGTGGAATGGGTGGCTACGTTTGGAAATCCATCTGCATATAGCAGCGTTCTGAAGACATCTTGGGAAAAGAGGCTGTGTGTGCATGTGTCACCTAAAGACAGAGCCGTGTCACTACAGATCGCCCCATGTTGGATGTGACTACAGCTGGGCACAATACTCTCTAGGAGAAGCGTTATCTTCTCCTTTGCCACTGGGTTTGTCTTGACAGCCAAATCACTTTCTTTGGTAGTCAAGGTCCTCTGGATTTCTGGAACACCATATTTTGGTGAAAGTGGTATCTAGGTCATCATGATGTTTCTGCTCGTGGACAAGAACAGCACAGACCTGCGGACACAGCAAGCACTGGGCTTTCCACCCTTTAGAGTGGAAGAAGGCAAAGGAGAAGGAGGTCTGCAATGGGTTAGTGTATGAGTTTTCTATTGCTGCTGTGACAAATTATCACAAATTTGGTAGCTTAAAATCACAAATTTATTATCTTACAATTCTGGAGGTCAGAAGTCTAAAATGGGTCTCACTGGGCGAAAGCCAAGGTGTCAGTAGGGCAGCTTCCTTCTGGAGGTTCTAGAGGAAAAGCCATTCTCTTGCTTTTTCTAGTTTCTAGGAGCCACCTGCATTCTTTGTGTCTTGGCCCTTCCTCCATCTTCAATGCTAGCAGTATAGCATCTTTGAGTCTTTTCTGCCTCACTCTTCCACATTTGATGAGTCCTGGTGATTAAATTGGGTTCACATGGATTGTCCCATGTGATCTCCTTATTTTAAAGTCTGCTGTTTAGCAAGCTTAATTCCATGTGCAGCCTTAATCCATCCTTGCCATATAACATATCATATCCCCCCGACCCAGGGATTAGGACATGGACATCTTTGGGGATCCATTATTCTGCGTATCACAGTTAAAAAACAAAGATTTTGTGCTATAGAAACATGGAAAAAAATCCTTATCCTTATTTTCCTTCAATCTTTCTCATGAAATAGAAAGACCTTTGAATCCAAAAGAGAAGACTCTACATTGGTTTGAATCAAAGCTAAAGGTGGGTTAAGAGGCACAATGAGCTCCGGGCTCAAGCATTGAAATGGAATTTGCCCCAAGATACTGAGCGAATTTAGGAATGAGATTTCCGAATTGCTCATGGAGAGTTTTGAGGATTTATGGAGAATAGCAAAAGTGTTAGAAGACTAGAAATGGGCAGTGTACAAGTTCTTTTTTAAAGGGAGAAAGTAGATCCCCTAAACTATAGGTGAATGAGTTTGACATTACTTCTGGAAATAATTTTGAATGAAACATGAAAAGAATGGTTTGCTAGAGTTCTTTGCAATTATCAAACAACATGGGCTTCCTGAGAACAAATCGTATAAGACAAATGTTATTTCCTTCTTTGACACTGTTTCTCCACAGTACGTTTAGAAGGGAGATAGACTCTGCATCACCAGACTGTGAGATCCTCATGGAACTTTTCTAAGGCAGAGACTATGAAGGATTTTTCTGAACATTGTCAGTGGGTGTGCTGGATGTGGCTCATGCTGGTGCCCAAATGCTGATTGTGCAATACAAATCTTCTCAATTCCACCTTCAATGACATCACCTTGGTAGTTTGAAATCTTTGTCATGTTCGAGGTAGTTATATTAGGGAAGTCAGCAAACACTACAAGCTAGGCCTCCCCCCCGCCCCCTCTGTGTAGTCAGTTGTTAATCATTGACTGCCACGACACTGCCTGTACTCTAAGTGTCCAGTACAGAGCCAATACACAGCAGGTGCTCCATTACACGTTGGCTGAAGAAATAAATAGCTTGCACTAAACAAAGTCTCCCATAATAAAACTGTGGTCAAGATAGAGACAGCTTGGCTGGATGCCAGTGCAATAAAAAATCCTAACGAACAATCAAGGAAACAAACAAAAAGAAAAGAAATAAAGAGGAAAAAAAGAATCAATGTCAAGTTGGAGGGAATTTTCTGAGAGTAGAATGAAGAATTCTGTCCTTGGTTCTGTGAGTCTTGAGTAATCTCTACCAACAAGAGAAAATAAGTACGTCATATAATACAAAGAGGTCTTCATCATCTGTAGTGATAAACTGAATCTGGAAAGAAGAAATTTCACAGGGGCAAATGAAAAGTCTTATTGTTGGATTAAGAGAGAACTAAACTAACAGGATGGAGGAGGGGTGGGGGAACATAGCTTAGTGGCACGAGACATGAAAAGTGGGTCTCACTATTTATTCCAAACGGGTCAAGCGGTGACTCTGAAGCATTGTGCCCAGATCCAGGCGTTGTACAGTTGAGCATTTAGGGAAGAGTGACTAGAGTGATGGGAGATACAAAATTTATCATGTGAGGCAGGATAGAAGGAATTATGAGTGTTTTCATTGGAAGAGGAAAGACTCAAATGAATATGAGGCTGACACCAAATAATTGAATGACTGTCACCTAGACAGGACCATGAAGCTGCGCAATTCCAAGGAGCACGGTTGACATGGTAGTCTACGTGAAGAGCGACGGATACCTGGAGCTGAGCAGTGTGCAGTCTGCACAACTGGAAGTGCTAGTCTTGCATGTGGGAAGGGGTCATGATCCCAAATAGCCAGAGCCCCTGAGAGTTCTAGTTCAGCTCAATCTCAGCAAGACCCTCAGAGCTCCTGAAGAGGGTTGCCCTTGCCTTGGATGGATTCACAGCTGAGCCTGGATGGCCACATGTCATGGAGGTGGAAGAGGGGATTCTGGCAACACAAAAGCAGAAGGAAGCTTTTATTGGATGAATTTTAACATTTCTAACCCTGAGATTCACTGATGGTGGAGATGGGGACTGTCATTTATGGAGCTTCTACTTGTGTTAGACACTGTGTTAGGCACTTTATATACCTGATTTGATTTAATGTTTGATACAACCCCACAGAGTGGATATTATTGTCTTTAATTTGTGGATAAGAAATTGAGACTCAGAGATTAATTCCTTATCCATAGTCATTCAATTATTAGGAAGTGTAGCCAGGATTTAAACCTGGGAGTATATGACTCCTCAATTCTTCCTGGACCACTGGGGATTAGGAGGAAAGCTCACCCCTACCACCACCCTAGGACTATCTGCAATGTGACTTGTGTCAATATCAGTCAGGGAGACTTGTGGGAGGCAGCTCTCTGGAATGAACATAGAACCATGGTTGTGGGTGCTATTGACTGGCCAGTGGTAGCCATGTCTTAAAGGCAAGACTTCATACCATACCAGAGCTGATGATTCTGAGGCTGAAGATGCCCTTCCACAGTCTTAAGACACCTAATTTGTGGGACCAGAATCTTACTGGACTCCTTCCCTTGGGCTGCCATCAAAAAGTCACAATACCCCAGGCCAGGCATGGTGGCTATCATCTGTAATCCCAGCACTTTGGGAGGCTGATGTGGGATGATCACTTGACATCAGGAGTTCAAGACCAACCTGAGCAAGAGCGAGATCCTATCTCTACAAAAAATAGAAAAATTAGCCGGGCATGGTGGCATGCACATGTAGTCCCAGCTATTTGGGAGGCTGGGGCAGGAGGATCACTTAAGCTCAGGAGTTTGAGATTGCAGTGAGCTATGATGATGCCACTGCACTTTACCCAGAACGACAGAACAAAACTGTCTCAAAAAAAAAAAATCCACACTACCCCAAAGAAAATGAAGGTGCTCACAGAAACACAGTTCCTGACTGATTCTCCCTTTGCAAATTAAAGGCCGTGAGGCAGGAGTCTTTTCATCTCACTTCCCCACTTACTCCACTGAAACTCAGGTCGTGACCGTGACTTTATGGGTTTATAATCAGCCCCAGGATTGCTTACATGGAGCCAGCGACAGACTGGAGCCAGTTCCTGGGAGCTACCAAGTAGCTGACAAACTAGGAAGCGTGATCTTTGACTCATTCATTCATTACACAACTAAGCAGCTTGGGTGTTCACAGTGCGTCACCTCGCACCAGGGCCACACCTCTCCATTGCTGGAATAGCTTGCCTGGCTATCTCCCGGAGCATTCGAAGACATTTGTTGACTTGGAAGAACCAGTGGCTTTCCTATTACCAAATGATCTGTATCAAGACTGCAATTTCCTACTTGCCAGTAGTATAATTCTCCGGTGTGAGAATTTGGCTGTGGGCTGATGTTTCGTCTTGAGCAATTATTTTGAATTTCTCTGGAGCCACTCCTGTTGACAATGGCTTATACTCACACCTAGGATTAAAGTCTACTTATTATCAGAGGGCAAACACCTGTCCTCACAGTGAACACAGCTGCAATTATAGCCAAGGGTTCATATTTCATTCTCTTTCAGGCTCTCAAAGGCACAATTTATTTTTTGCCCTTCCTATTTTTCTGTCTGAATTATCTCCCTGCTATCCAGGCATTTCAGACCCCACCATTATTCTGTTCCTTCCCACCACCACAATCATTCTTGCCATGTCAGTAAATTGACCACAGGACCATAAATATTGGCAGAGAGCACAGGAAGGGTTGTTCAACCTAACGGCAAGTGCCATGGTCTTACCACTCAATGATCATGCCCCCTTACATGGAGAGCTGTTGTAATGCGTGGCAGAAACAACAGGAAAGAAATTGGTAAAAG